CCAAACACACCAAGACAGTCGTGAAGAGGGCACGACAAAACCTATTCCCCCTCAGGAGACTGAAAAGATTTGGCATGGGTCCTCAGATCCTCAAAAAGTTATACAGCTGCACCATCGAGAGCATCCTGACTTGTTGCATCACCGCCTGGTATGGCAACTGCTCTCCCTCCGACCGCAAGGCACTACAGAGTGTAGTGCGTACGGCCCAGTACATCACTGGGGTCAAGCTTCCTGCCATCCAGGACCTCTATTCCAGGTGGTGTCAGAGGAGGGCCCTCAAAATTGTCAGACTCCAGCCACCCTAGTCATAGTATGTTCTAACCGGTGGCCCTGCACATTGACTCTGTACCGGTACCCCCTGTATATAGATGTGATGAGTGTGATACAGAGTTTATTCCGTCGTACACAAATAGCGACACACGGAAACAGGCACAGGGGAAACTATCTACCCTGGCAATACACGGTACGGGATACTCCAACAATATACAGGCACAGGGGAAATATCTACCCCGGTAATACAAAGGGAGAGTAGCTCCACCGAGCTACACTACTCTCACAAATAACAATCACCCACAAGGACAAGGGGGGCAGAGGGAACACTTATACACTGACTAATGAGGGGATAAGAACCAGGTGTGTGTAATTGACAAGACAAGACAAATGGAATGATAATAAATGGAGCGGCAGTGGCTAGTAAGCCGGTGACGACGAATGCCGAAGCCTGCCCGAACAAGGAAGGGAGGCAGCCTCTGCGGAAGTCGTGACAATATCCTCCCTACTGTTATTTTATTTTACTGCTCCTCTTAAATTATTTGCTATTTTTATATTTTACTTATCTATTTTTTACTAAACACTTTTTTTATTTTCTTAAAACTGCATTGTTGGTTAAGGGCTTGTAAGTAAGCATTTCACTGAAAGGTCTACACCTGTGTGTGTGTTTTGCTGCAAAGAAACAACTAAGAAGAAGAGGCCAAGAAACATGAGCAATGGACATTAGACCGGTGGAAATCTGTCATTTGGTCTGATGAGTCCAAATTTGAGATTTTTGGTTCCAACCGCCGTGTCTTTGCGAGATGCAGAGTAGGTGATGGATGATCTCCGCATGTGTGGTTCCCACCGTGAAGCATGGAGGAGGAGGTGTGATGGTGTGGGGGTGCTTTTCTGGTGACACTGTCTGTGATTTATTTAGAATTCAAGGCACACTTAACCAGCATGCCGACCACAGCATTCTGCAGCGATACGCCATCCCATCTGGTTTGCGCTTAGTGGAACTGTCATTTGTTTTTCAACAGGACGATGACCCAAAACATACCTCCAGGCTGTTTAAGGGCTATTTGACCAAGAAAGAGAGTAATGGAATGCTGCATCAGATGACCTGGCCTCCACAATCACCCGACCTCAACCCAATTGAGATGGTTTGGGATGAGTTGGACCGCAGAGTGAAGGAAAAGCATCCAACAAGTGCTCAGCGTGGGAACTCCTTCAAGACTGTTGGAAAAGCATTCCTCATGAAACTGGTTGAGAGAATGCAAAGAGTGTGCAAAGCTGCCATCAAGGCAAAGGGTGGATACTTTGAAGAATCTAACATTTAAAATATATTTTGATTTGTTTAACACGTTTTTGGTTACTACATGATTCCATATGTGTTATTTCATAGTTTTGATGTCTTCACTATTATTCTACAATTTAGAAAATAGTAAAAATAAAGAAAAACCCTTGAATGAGTAGGTGTGTCCAAACTTTTGACTGGTACTGTATATTTAGAGAAAAAATTGTATATTTAGTGGCTAGCAAGCTAGCTAGCATTAGCAACGTTTGGTGGTCAATGAGACTGAGAGCCAGCTAGCTAACCAGCTGAGCTATCAAACAATGTAATAAAAGTATAATTTCGGACTCTAAAAATACTCCACCAACAAGCTCTCCATTTCAGGAATCACCGTAGTAAGTACTCCTGGTGCACTGTTAAATTATTTAGCCATTAATTTTTTAAAGAAAACTTTTTGCCATAGCCTTAACTAGCTTTCATGCGATTTAAAAGTGAGCTTGTCCAAGGTGTTGGACTCGACGACAGTTGCTATCCATTGGAGCACTGCAATTGGTTGCCTAAGTTCTGTGGCGGGGTTTAGCGAAGGGTCATTAGTGGTGCGACCAAATCATGGGCTGGTGTCGCCAACTGAAAATTTTTGTATGGAGCCCTGTGAATTGTCTCTTACACATATAATAGAACTTGTGAATGTTAAGATCTTTAGGCTATGCTCTCACATTAGTCCACAATTTGGAATTAGGCCTACTCATGTTACTAAATGAAAAAAATGCTATATGAGGTAAACGTTTTTTTTTAAAGTTAAAAAATATGTCTGGGTGATAGAAGTGAAGGTAATCCAAAATTAATACAAATGTAATCGGATTCCGTTACTCATTTTGAGTAATCCAAAGGATTACGTTACTGATTACTTTATTTTTAATGTAACTTTAATCAGTTACAGACCTCATTACTAACAGAAAGGACTATCAGACCATCACAGGACTCAGGAGTTTATAAATGTATGACGTTATCAGGGTATTGAGGATGGGGAACAATCCACACGCAATTATTGTATAAATCAGCGTATGTATTAACATCAACCTTGGTTCAGGTTTAACAGTTCAACATTGACTACACAAGGTCTTGCACGGGGCACATGGTTGCATTGTCATTAAGACAGTAAGAGTTAAAGAAGTGATATCTATGTGGACCAGGAAGTAGAGTCAGTTGCCTGGGTGCCTTGAGCCCTGACACACACCAGTTTGCCCGTACAAACATAAATACTGTCAGACTTTCTCGCTCATCCACTCATGGCAACACATCACCTCCTTGTCCTGGACATCTTTTTCTTCCTCACTGGACTCTCAGGTAAGTGAGGGAAGACATTTTGTTGTTTGATATTATTAGACTTACTTCCTCTAACTCAGTACATGCTGAAAGTCATAACACTTATAATGTTCTGTCTACTTTGTCCATAGACATTGTAGTCACATTAAAGATTTTCAGTATGTTGTGCTCAGATGTATTGATGAATGCCGTTTTTATTATCTTGTGAAACAGTTGTATTTTTCTAGTTTTTGCATAACACATTTAAATACAACTTCCAGTAAAAGAGAACTAACACATTAAGAAGAGTGGAGTGCTTCTTTGGTTATAGTTGTATACCATGAGGTGCTCTTTAATCATGGCATGAAATACTACAGAACAAAAATAAGTTGATGCTTGATAGTAAAAATGCTGAAAAAGCCTTTTTGCAAACCAACTTCCAGAAGTAATTAAGGCACTCTCATGTAGTGGAAAAAGGTAAAATCCTTTGTTTACGGCTTATGCATAGCAAGAATTTAAAAGATTACTGGCGGGTTGCGGCTACAAGGGTGACAAAGAATAGGGGTGGACAGACAGGTGTACAGTGCATTCGGAAAGTATTCAGACCCCTTGACTTTTCCACATTTTGTTACATTACAGCCTTATTCTAAATTGTATTAAATTGTCCCCCCCCCATCAATCTACACACAATACACTATAATGACAAAGCAAAAATAGGTTTTTAGATTTTCTTGCAAATTTACAAAAAAATTTAAACTCAAATATCACTTTTACATAAGTATTCAGACCCTTTACTCAACACTTTACTGAAGCACCTTTGGCAGCGATTACAGCCTGAAGTCTTGGGTATGACGCTACAAACGTGGCACACCTGTATTTGGGGAGTTTCTCCCATTCTTCTCTGCAGATCCTCTCAAGCTCTGTCAGGTTGGATGGGGAGCGTCGCTGCACAGCTATCTTCAGGTCTCTCCAGAGATGTTAGATCGGATTCAAGTCCGGGCTCTGGCTTGGCCACTCAAGGACATTCAGAAACTTGTCCAGAAGCCAAACCTGCGTTGGGTTGGCTGTGTGCTTAGGGTCGTTGTCCTGTTGGTAGGTGAACCTTCGCCCCAGTCTGAGGTCCTGAGCGCTCTGGAGCAGGTTTTCATCAAGGATCTCTTTGTACTTTGCGCCGTTCATCTTTCCCTCAATCCTGACTTGTCTCTCAGTCCCTGTTGTGAAAAACATCCCCACAGCATGATGCTGCCACCACCATGCTTCACCGTAGGGATGGTGCCAGGTTTCCTCCAGACGTGACGCTTGGCATTCAGGCCAAAGAGTTCAGTCTTGGTTTCATCAGACCAGAGAATCGTGTTTCTCATGGTCTGAGAGTACTTTAGGTGCCTTTTAGCAAACTCCAAGCGAGTAGTCATGTGCTTTTTACTGAGGAGTGGCTTCCCTCTGGCCATTAAGGCCTGATTGGTGGAGTGCTGCAGAGATGGTTGTCCTTCTAGAAGGTTCTCCCATCTCCACAGAGGAACTCTGGAGCTCTGTCAGAGTGACCATCAGGTTCTTGGTCACCTCCCGGACCAAGGCCCTTCTCCCCCGATTGCTCAGTTTGGCCGGGCGGCCAGCTCTAGGAAGAGACTTGGTGGTTCCAAACTTGGAGGCCACTGTGTTCTTGAGGACCTTCAATGCTGCAGAAATGTTTTGGTACCCTTCCCCAGATCTGTGCCTCGACACAATCCTGTCTCGGAGCGCTACGGACAATTCCTTCGATCTCATGGCTTGGTTTTTGCTCTGTCAAGAACTGTCAACTGTGGGGCCTTATATGGACAGGTGTGTGCCTTTCCAAATCATATCCAATCAATTGAATTTACCACAGGTGGACTCCAATCAAATTGTAGAAACATCTCAAGGATGATCAATGGAAACAGGATGCACCTGAGCTCAATTTCGAGTCTCATAGCAAAGGGTCTGAATACTTATGTAAATAAGGTTTTAAACTTTTTATAAATGTGCGAAATCTTCTAAAAACCTGTAATGTAACCATATGTGTTACATGTCAAGGGGTCTGAATACTTTCCAAAGGCACTCTATGTATTTTTTGTTGTTGTGTCTACAGGTATTCACAGTGTGTCCACAGTGAGTCATGTGTCTGTAAAGCAAGGAGGCTCCATCACCATCCCATGTCTCTATCATCATGGCTCTGAAAAACATGTGAAATACTGGTGTAGTGGATATTTTTTCTTTTCTTGCTCTACTCGAATACGTACTGACTCTCAGAGTGCATCTAATTGGTTGTCCATCTCTGATAATGTTACTACAAGAGTCTTCACTGTGACCATGAAGAATCTGCAACCAAGGGTCTCTGGATATTTCTGGTGTGCTGTGGAGAAAGGTGACAAAACTCATCTGTATCTGTCAGTTGCCACAGGTGAGATCCTTACCTTTCTGATCATTAAATATCATCTACTGTTTAGTAATACCATGTAAAATTGATTGGTTTAGATGAGTATCTGGCCTCATAATTGTATTTAAACCATTTGTGTTTTCTGATCTAGATTTTCCTTTTAAAAATGACCGAACATGTACTCTGTATGGGGATTATTTGACATTCACACAAATATTGACCCTTTAAATCCATTCATTGTGCAGGTACTGCAGGACTCTATGTGGACCAACAACATGTGACTGGAGTTGAAGGACAGAGTGTCACTGTCAATTGTAACTATAGTAACTCTGGAGGTTTCTGCTGGTGCAGGCTGGGTGGCTCCTGTGTGGAGAGCAGAGTTGGGAATTTAGATGGAGCATCAGTAGAATTAAAGCGGATTCCTGCCAATGGAAAAAAAGTCATGATCATAACAATGAGTCAACTAAAAATGAAGAACACTGGCTGGTACTGGTGTGCAGTTGGAGACCTACAGATGCCTGTTCATATCACTGTCAATCAACCAACCACAACACAGATTAACACCACCACAAGTAAGTACAGAGCAATCCCATATAACCAAGTATGATTCCCTTTTTATTTATCCAGTGTTGTTAGAGATTAAGGAACATTGAAAGGTCTTCTGAAACAAAGTGGAAATCTTTTGACCACACATTCTCTTGAGATGATCCTGTCAGTCATGTTAAAGATCATTGAGAACCGGAACATTCTTTATACAACTGTTTTATCATATCTACCACCTAGATTTGAAATGAATACTGAAAATGATAAGAATTTGATTTTAACGCATGTGTCAAACACAAGCTAAGAAAGTATTATAGAGCTTAGTTAATCAACATCCCAGTTACCTGGTTTTAATCATATAAATCTAAATTATACACAAGTCAGTTTAATGGAGCGACATATTGGAGCTTCTCACAGCGACAAAAGCTCCAACCAATCACTAAACTTCACTAACAAGTGCTGAGTAACATTTCTCAGCCCACAGTCACCCCTTCTTTTACAGACCAGAACAATGGGGTAACTGATGAGAAGCGACAGGAAAGGATCCAGAGGTTTGTATTCAGTCTACTGCATATCCCTCACTTTAACAGGGGCAGCAGGCAATGTTCCTGTCACACCCTGATCTGTTTCACCTGTCTTGTGATTGTCTTCAACCCCCACCAGGTGTCTCCCATTACCTCAAGTGTATTTATACCTGCGTTTTCTGTTTGTCTGTTGCCAGTTCGTCTTGTCCCGTCAGGTCCTACCAGCTTGTTCCCGTGTTTCCTGTGCGCTAGTTTTTGCTTTTTCTAGTCTTCCCAGTTCTGACCTTTCTGCCTGTCCTGACCCTGATCCTGCCTGCCGTCCTCTAACTGCCTGACTCTTATTTGGATTACGACTCGTTGCCTGCCTTGACCTACCGATTGCCTGCCCCTTGTACTATAATAAACTCTGGGACACGTACTCTCCGCCTCCTGTGTCTGCATCTGGGTCTTAGCCTGAGCCGTGATAGTTCCCTCTAATTGTTTTAGGCTATGATCAAATTTCAGGTCTGCTGAGCGCAAACTTTGTGAAAATTCTGTGCAATTTCCAGCGTGCGTTTACTGTGAACACTGAGGCTGTACCTGCTTTAATTTACTGTTTTAACAGTGGCCAAGTAGGCTACTGTGGCCATTTGACCATAATGTAGGCCTACCAGAGTGGCCTAGCATAAAAAACGATATATCAGATAACATTTTAACATGGAAATAGCGGTTCTATCCTTCAGCCTACAGTAGTAGCAGTGTTCAATGTAGGCCTACATTCCATGAGACTTTTGAAAAAAAAACATACAGGGTTTGACATTAATTATCCACTTGTCCTTCAGACAAGGAGGTGACTGAACATACAAAATACAATTCATTATTATTCCTGTACCATTATTACAGAGAATCAGCCAAATTATGCTACCCTCTGCCTATTGACTACTGAGCTTATTCAAGTCTGTCTCAAAATATAACACTGCCCCTTTAAGTCATAAAAAAAGCTCTTTACCTGACTTGTTTTTCAAAGATGGCTAGAAATGTACACGTTTAGTGCTCTTGTAGGAAGCAGTCACTCCCACATTGCTGAATACAAATTAGTTATAACTGGGCTAATAACTCACTAACTAGATAATAATATGAACCAATGTGAACACATGGCTACATGCAGCTCTTGCTTTGATCTCAAAACAAGCACATAATAATCGCTCATGCTGTAAAACAGTCCAGTTCAAAGTGAATGGCACAAATCCATATATGGCAATGGTCTATTTGCATATACAGTGCTGTGAAAAAGTATTTGCCCTCTTTCTAATTTTCTCTACTTTTGCATATTTGTGATACTGAATGTTATCAGATCTTCAACCAAAACCTAATATTAGATAAAGGAAACATAAGTGGACAAATAACACAACAATTACATATTTATTTCATAAACAAAGTTATGCAACACCCAATTCCCCTGTGTGGAAAAAGTAATTGCCACCTTACACTCAATAACTGGTTGTGCCACCTTTAGCTGCAATGACTCCAACCAAATGCTTCCTGTAGTTGTTGATCAGTCTCTCACGTCGCTGTGGAGGAATTTTGGCCCACTCTTCCATGCAGAACTGCTTTAACTCAGTGACGTGTGGGTTTTCAAGCAGGAACTGCTCGTTTCAAGTCCTGCCACAACATCTCAATTGGGATTAGGTCTGGATTTTTACTAGGCCATTCCAAAACTTCCAATTTGTTGCTTTTTCATCAATTTTCATGTAGACTTGATTGTGTGTTTTGGATCATTGTCTTGCTGCATGACCCAGCTGCGCTTCAGCTTCAGCTCACAGACGGATGGTCTGACATTCTCCTGTAGAATTCTCTGATACAGAGCAGAATTCATGGTTCCTTCTATTAAGGCAAGTCGTCCAGGTCCTGAGGCACCAAAGCATCCCCAAACCATCACACCCCCACCACCATGCTTGACCTTTGGTATGATGTTCTTACTGTGGAATGCAGAGTTTGGTTTTCGCCAGGTATTACTGGAACCATGTCGTCCAAAAAGTTATACTTTTGAATCATCTGTCCATAGAACGTTCTTCCAAGAGTCTTGATGACCATCCAGGTGCTTTTTGACAAACTTGAGTCAACTTTTTGGACGAGATGGGTCCCATTATGCCTGGCAAAAACCAAACACTGCATTCCACAGTAAGAACATCATCGTTTTGGTTGAAGATCTGATAACATTCAGTATCACAAATATGCAAAAGTAGAGAAAATTAGAAAGGGGGCAAATACTTTTTCAAAGCACTGTAGGTCTACTGCAGATCTGATTGTTTATGGTGCACTGGTCTGTAGAGTATTGGCCTGAGTTGTACCTGTCAAGGCAATAGAATCCTACTCCGGTGCATTCTGCCTAGAACAAAATCTCTTGCCTAGTTAGTTTTGCATACTAAGTATTGCATAGTTCGGTTTGCTTTGGTATATTGCATTGAAAGTGGCTAATATTGCATTGATTCGATCACAATTCCCACAGTAAAGGGAAATGTTTATAGTGTTAACTAACAGGGAAAACTTGAGAAAGTTGAGTGAAGTTCAATCTCATGCTTCTCTGTGCAGGCTGATATTTCTTCTGTGGGGGAGCTGCGCGCAGCTTAGAGGGAACAGGTAGCCTAATGGTTAAGAGCGTTGGGACAGTAACGAACGGAAGGACGCTGTTCGAATCCCCTAGCTGACTAGGTGAAAAATCTGTCGATGTGCCCTTGAGCAAGGCACTTAACCCTAATTGCTCCTGTAAGTCGCTCTGGATAAGAGCGTCTGCTAAATGACTAAAATGTAATAGTCATTCAAACAGTTGGTAATACTGTAAGGGTGTGGGGGCAACGGTGTCGATTTAATTTTCATAAGAATGTGTACAAAACGAAACACCTTCCTTAAATGTTCTTGCTTAAACATATACCACTTCCCCATGGTTAGATATCTTTGGGCGTGTACTGTGACATAAATAAGCATTTGTGGCATTCTCTTCTCCTCCCTCTTTTGGTAAAGTTCCTGTTTCCTTACTTCCTAACGTTAATGGACCGCTAGGCTAACTGCCGTGATAATATGATAGGCCATCAAGTACAGTGGGGTAAAAAAGTATTTAGTCAGCCACCAATTGTGCAAGTTCTCCCACTTAAAAAGATGAGAGAGGCCTGTAATTTTCATCATAGGTACACGTCAACTATGACAGACAAAATGAGAAAAAATAAATCCAGAAAATCACATTGTAGGATTTTTAATGAATTTATTTGCAAATGATGGTGGAAAATAAGTATTTGGTCAATAACAAAAGTTTCTCAATACTTTGTTATATACCCTTTGTTGGCAACGACACAGGTCAAACGTTTTCTGTAAGTCTTCACAAGGTTTTCACTCACTGTTGCTGGTATTTTGGCCCATTCCTCCATGCAGATCTCCTCTAGAGCAGTGATGTTTTGGGGCTGTCGCTGGGCAACACAGACTTTCAACTCCCTCCAAAGATTTTCTATGGGGTTGAGATCTGGAGACTGGCTAGGCCACTCCAGGACCTTGAAATGCTTCTGACGAAGCCACTCCTTCGTTGCCCGGGCGGTGTGTTTGGGATCATTGTCATGCTGAAAGACCCAGCCACGTTTCATCTTCAATGCCCTTGCTGATGGAAGAAGGTTTTCATTCACAATCTCACGATACATGGCCCCATTCATTCTTTCCTTTACACAGATCAGTCGTCCTGGTCCCTTTGCAGAAAAACAGCCCCAAAGCATGATGTTTCCACCCCCATGCCTCACAGTAGGTATGGTGTTCTTTGGATGCAACTCAGCATTCTTTGTCCTACAAACACGACGAGTTGAGTTTTTACCAAAAAGTTCTATTTTGGTTTCATCTGACCATATGACATTCTCCCAATCCTCTTCTGGATCATCCAAATGCACTCTAGCAAACTTCAGACGGGCCTGGACATGTACTGGCTTAAGCAGGGGGACACGTCTGGCACTGCAGGATTTGAGTCCCTGGCGGCGTAGTGTGTTACTGATGGTAGGCTTTGTTACTTTGGTCCCAGCTCTCTGCATGTCATTCACTAGGTCCCCCTGTGGGGTTCTGGGATTTTTGCTCACCGTTCTTGTGATCATTTTGACCCCACGGGGTGAGATCTTGCGTGGAGCCCCAGATCGAGGGAGATTATCAGTGGTCTTGTATGTCTTCCATTTCCTAATAATTGCTCCCACAGTTGATTTCTTCAAACCAAGCTGCTTACCTATTGCAGATTCAGTCTTCCCAGCCTGGTGCAGGTCTACAATTTTGTTTCTGGTGTCCTTTGACAGCTCTTTGGTCTTGGCCATAGTGGAGTTTGGAGTGTGACTGTTTGAGGTTGTGGACAGGTGTCTTTTATACTGATAACAAGTTCAAACAGGTGCCATTAATACAGGTAACGAGTGGAGGACAGGAGCCTCTTAAAGAAGAAGTTACAGGTCTGTGAGAGACAGAAATCTTGCTTGTTTGTAGGTGACCAAATACTTATTTTCCACCATAATTTGCAAATAAATTCATAAAAAATCCTACAATGTGATTTTATGGATTTTCTTTTCTGAACTTGTCTGCCATAGTTGACGTGTACCTATGATGAAAATTACAGGCCTCTCTCATCTTTTTAAGTGGGAGAACATGCACAATTGGTGGCTGACTAAATACTTTTTTCCCCCACTGTATTTCCACTCTCACAACCATGCAAACAAAAATGATGCCTATGACACGTAGATCAATGACTGTGATTGTCTATATATTCCAGTTTGCTGGTAGTCCTGCTCATTCCCCTGAGCCTGTTGGGGGTGGTGATAGCTGGTACCTTGGTCACATGGAAGATGTTGATAAAACATAGTAAGTATTTGATAAATTGATCAAATAAAACAATGACTAATGTCACTTGCAGAATATAATAAATACAGGACAGTTGCTACTACAAATGAAAGGTTTGACATCAAAGATCATTAGTACCAACATCCTATTTTCTTTATTCCAGAGGACAAGAAGGCAAAGGGCCAACCACCAAACACCTCAGTAGTAAGCTATGATCATGTTATCTTCTCACTCATCTGTTCCTTTCTCTTCTTGATATTCTAGGGTTCTCTTTGATTAATAGTTAGTCATAACTAACACTAAATCAATCCGATCTCTTATGTTTACTGGACTCAAGAATATTAAGTTAAACAGTTTAAAGAGAACTGGGTTTCTTAATTTAGTCATGCACTGACTATGCATATTTTACTTCCTCAAATCACTCACCACAAGTCCTGAATGCAAAGGTCATTGAACTAAATGACTATCGCCCCGTAGCACTCACTTCTGTCATCATGAAATGCTTTGAGAGACTAGTCAAGGATCATATCACCTCCACCTTACCTGTCACCATAGACCCACTTCAATTTGCATACCGCCCCAATAGGTCCACAGACGATGCAATTGCCATCACACTGCACACTGCCCTATCCCATCTGGACAAGAGGAATACCTACAGTGAGGGAAAAAAGTATTTGATCCCCTGCTGATTTTGTACGTTTGCCCACTGACAAAGAAATGATCAGTCTATAATTTTAATAGTAGGTTTATTTGAACAGTGAGAGACAGAATAACAACCAAATAATCCAGAAAAACGCATGTTAAAAATGTTATAAATTGATTTGCATTTTAATGAGGGAAATAAGTATTTGACCCCCTCTCAATCAGAAAGATTTCTGGCTCCCAGGTGTCTTTTATACAGGTAACGAGCTGAGATTAGGAGCACACTCTTAAAGGGAGTGCTCCTAATCTCAGTTTGTTACCTGTATAAAAGACACCTGTCCACAGAAGCAATCAATCAGATTCCAAACTTTCCACCATGGCCAAGACCAAAGAGCTCTCCAAGGATGTCAGGGACAAGATTGTAGACCTACACAAGGCTGAAATGGGCTACAAGACCATCGCCAAGCAGCTTGGTGAGAAGGTGACATCAGATGGTGCGATTATTCGCAAATGGAAGAAACACAAAATAACTGTCAATCTCCCTCGGCCTGGGGCTCCATGCAAGTTCTCACCTCGTGGAGTTGCAATGATCATGAGAACGGTGAGGAATCAGCCCAGAACTACACAGGAGGATCTTGTCAATTATCTCAAGGCAGCTGGGACCATAGTCACTAAGAAAACAATTGGTAACACACTACGCCGTGAAGGACTGAAATCCTGCAGCGCCCGCAAGGACCCCCTGCTCAAGAGAGCACATATACAGGCCCGTCTGAAGTTTGCCAATGAACATCTGAATGATTCAGAGGAGAACTGGGTGAAAGTGTTGTGGTCAGATGAGACCAAAATCGAGCTCTTTGGCATCAACTCAACTCGCCGTGTTTGGAGGAGGAGGAATGCTGCCTATGACTCCAAGAACACCATCCCCACCGTCAAACATGGAGGTGGAAACATTATGCTTTGGGGGTGTTTTTCTGCTAAGGGGACAGGACAACTTCACCACATCAAAGGGACGATGGACGGGGCCATGTACCGTCAAATCTTGGGTGAGAACCTCCTTCCCTCAGCCAGGGCATTGAAAATGGGTCGTGGATGGGTATTCCAGCATGACAATGACCCAAAACACACGGCCAAGGCAACAAAGGAGTGGCTCAAGAAGAAGCACATTAAGGTCCTGGAGTGGCCTAGCCAGTCTCCAGACCTTAATCCCATAGAAAATCTGTGGAAGGAGCTGAAGGTTCGAGTTGCCAAACGTCAGCCTCGAAACCTTAATGCCTTGGAGAAGATCTGCAAAGAGGAGTGGGACAAAATCCCTCCTGAGATGTGTGCAAACCTGGTGGCCAACTACAAGAAACGTCTGACCTCTGTGATTCCCAACAAGGGTTTTGCCACCAAGTACTAAGTCATGTTTTGCAGATGGGTCAAATACTTATTTCCCTCATTAAAATGCAAATCAATTTATAACATTTTTGACATACGTTTTTCTGGATTTTTTTGTTGTTATTTTGTCTCTCAATGTTCAAATAAACCTACCATTAAAATTATAGACTGATCATGTCTTTGTCAGTGGGCAAACGTACAAAATCAGCAGGGGATCAAATACTTTTTTCCCTCACTGTATGTAAGAATGCTGTTCATTGACTATAGCTCAGCATTCAACACCATAGTACCCTCCAAGCTCATCATCAAGCTTGAGGCCCTGGGTCTCAACCCCGCCTTGTGCAATTGGATCATGGACTTCCTGACGTGCCGCCCCCAGGTAGTGAAGGTAGGAAACAACATCTCCACTTCGCTGATCCTCAACGCTGGGGCCCCACAAGGGCGTGTGCTCAGCCCCCTCCAGTACTCCCTGTTCACCCATGACTGCGTAGCCATGCACACCTCCAACTCAATCATCAAGTTTGCAGACGACACAACAGTAGTAGGCTTGATTACCAACAACGATGAGACAGCCTACAGGGAGGAGGTGAGGGCTCTCGGAGTGTGGTGTCAGGAAAATAACCTCTCACTCAACGTCAAAAAAACTAAGGAGATGATCGTGGACTTCAGGAAACAGCAGAGGGACTACCCCCCTATCCACATCGACGGGACAGCAGTGGAGAAGGTGGAAAGTTTTAAGTTCCTCTGCGTACATATCACTGACAAACTGAAATGGTCCACCCACACAGACAGTGTGGTGAAGAAGGCTCAACAGCGTCTCTTCAGCCTCAGGAGGCTGAAGAAATGTGGCCTGTCACCTAAAACCCTCAAAAACATTTACAGATGCACAATTGAGAGCATCCTGTCGGGCTGTATCACCGCCTGGTACGGCAACTGCACCGCCCACAACCGCAGGGCTGCACCGCCCAGAGGGTGGTGCGGTCTGCACAATGCATCACCGGGGGCAAACTACCTGCCCTCCAGGACACCTACAGCCCCCGATGTCAAAAAGATAATTAAGGACAACTATCACCTGAGCCACTGCCTGTTCACCCCACTATCATCCAGAAGGCGAGGTCAGTACAGGTGCATCAAAGCTGGGACCAAGAGACTGAAAAACAGCTTCTATCTCAAGGCCATCAGACTGTTAAACAGCATTCACTAGCACAGAGAGGCTGCTGCCTACATTCAGACTTGAAAATCACTGGCCACTTTAATAAATGGAACACTAGTCACTTTAATAATGCCACTTTAATAATGTTTACATATCTTGCATTACCCATCTCATATGTATATACTGTATTCTATACTATCTATCGCATCTTAGCCTATGCCACTCTGATAATGACATTGCTCATCCATATATTTATGTATTCTTATTCTATTCCTTTACTTAGATTTGTGTGTATTAGATTTTTGTTGTTGAACTGTTAGATATTACTTGCTAGATATTGCTGCACTGTCGGAACTAGAAGCACAAGCATTTCGCTACACTCACAATAACATCTGCTAACCATGTGTATGTGACCAATAAATTTGATTTGATTTGGACAATTGAAAGATAACAAATAAAATGAAATCAAATTGTATTTGTCACATGCACCGAATACAACAGGTGTAGACCTTACCGTGAAATGCTTACTTACAATCCCTTAACCAACAATGCAGTTCAAGAAATAGAGTTAAGAAAATATTTACTAAATAAACTAGAGTAAAAAATAAAATAAAAAGTAACAATAAAATAACAATAACGAGGCTATATAGAGGGGATACCGGTACCGAGTCAATGTGAGGAGATACAGGTTAGTCGAGGTAATTTGTACATGTAGGTAGGGGTAAAGTGACTATGCATAGATAATAAACACAGAATAGCAGGGGGGGGGGGGTCAATGTAAATAGTCCAGGTGGCCATTTTATTAATTGTTCAGCAGTCTTATGGCTTGGGGGTAGAAGCTGTTAAGGAGCCTTTTGGACCTAGACTTGGCGCTCCGGTACTGCTTGCTTTGCGGTAGCAGAGAGAACAGTCTATGACTTGGGTGACTGGAGTCTTTGACAATTTTTTGGGCCTTCCTCTGACACCGCCTAGTACATAGGTCCTGGATGGCAGGAAGCTTGGCCCCAGCGATGTACTGGGCCGCACGCACTACCCTCTGTAGCGCCTTACGGTCAGATGCCGAGCAGTTGCCATACCAGGCGGTGATGCAACGGGTCAGGATGCTCTCGATGGTGCAGCTGTATAACATTTTGAGGATCTGGGGACCCATGCCAAATCTTTTCAGTCTCCTGAGGTGGAAAATGTGTTGTTGTGCCCTCTTCACGGCTGTCTTGGTGTGTTTGGACCATGATGGTTTGTTGGTGATGTGGATACCAAGGAACTTGAAACTCTTGACCCTCTCCACTACAGCCCCGTCAATGTTAATAGGGGCCTATTCGGCCCTCCTTTTCCTGTAGTCCACGATCATCTCCTTTGTCTTTCTCACATTGAGGGAGAGGTTGTTGTCCTGGCACCACACCGCCAGGTCTCTGACCTCCTCCCTATAGGTTGTCTCATCGTTGTCGGTGATCAGGCCTACCATTGTTGTGTCGTCAGCAAACTTAATGATGGTGTTGGAGTCGTGCTTGGCCACACAGTCGTGGGTGAACAGGGAGTACAGGAGGGGACTAAGCACGCACCCTTGAGGGGCACCAGTGTTGATGATCAGTGTGGCAGATGTGTTGCTGCCTACCCTTACCACCTGGGGGGCGGCCCGTCAGGAAGTCCAGGATCCAGTTGCAGAGAGAGGTGTTTAGTCCCAGGGTCCTAAGCTTAGCGATGAGCTTAGTGGGCACTATGGTGTTGAACACTGAGCTGTAGTCAATGAACAGCATTCTCACATGTGTTCCTTTTGTCCAGGTGGGAAAGGACAGTGTGGAGTGCAATTGAGATTGCGCCATCTGTGGATCTGTTGGGGCGGTATGCGAATTCGAGTGGGTCTAGGGTTTCCGGGATGATGGTGTTGATGTGAGCCATGACCAGCCTTTCAAAGCACTTCATGGCTACCGACGTGAGTGTTACGGGGCGGTAGTCATTTAGGCAGGTTACCTTCGCTTTCTTGGGCACAGGGACTATGGTTGTCTGCTTGAAACATGTAGGTATTACAGACGCAGTCAGGGAGAGGTTGAAAATGTCAGTGAAGACATTTGCCAGTTGGTCCGTGCATGCTCTGAGTACAAGTCCTGGTAATCCGTCTGGCCCCGCGGCCTTGTGAATGTTGACCTGTTTAAAGGTCTTGCTCACATCGGCTGCGGAGAGCGTGATCACACAGTCGTCCGGAATAGCTGGTGCTCTTGTATGCTTCAGTGTTGCTTGCCTCGAAGCGAGCATAAAAGGCATTTAGCTCGTCTGGTAGGCTCGCGTCACTGGGCAGCTCACATTTTGTGCATTCATTAGAAATACATTGCAAGTGCAAATTCATGTGTCAGTATGCATGAGAGGTACAACATCCTTCTATGGTAAAAAAACGTTTGATGTTTACAAGGTTTGTCTTTCATTCTTTCAGCAGCCTACTGAATCTGAGCAGGACATTACCTACAGCACTGTGAGTCACACCAAAGGAACAGCACAGCAGGTAAAAACCTAACCACTTTGACCCAACCCCCCCCCCCCCCCCCCAACCCAAACTAAACTCTCTGCAACCCAACTAAACCCCCCTCAAACTCAACCCAACCCCCTCCAACCCAACCTAAACCCTCTGCAACCCAACTAAACCCCCCCCAAACTCAACCCAACCCCCTCCAACCCAACCTATACCCTCTGCAATCCAACAAAAAAAACCTCAAACTCAACCCCTCTCCAATCCAACCTAAACCCTCAAAACCCAACTCAACAACCCTCAAACTAAACCCAACCCAACTCAAAGTGAAAGTCTACACTGTCTGTCTCTGTCTGAGTTGATGAGATCATGTTGCTCTCTCTCCTCCATCACACAGGGCCTAATCCCTGAGAGCCACGGTGACTTGTACAGCAATGTGATTCCTAAGCAGCACAGGACAGCACAAAATGTAAACTTTAAACTAAATAAACACATACTCACTGCTGGTCTTGTAGAGTATTTTTCTGTCTTGAGAAGCAGAACTTGAATTGACAGCCCTGATGTTTTGTAGAATGTAAAATGAATACAAAATGGATGTAAATGTTATCTGAATAACTTCCTGTGTAACTGTTTACCAGCAGGACCCATTTCCGTATGATGCAGTGACATACAGCACCGTTGTCACCAAGAACAAGACCCAACCAAATGTAGGCCTACATAAAAAGCTGCTCTATTGTGTTGATGATTTGCTTAACTTATTCATACCTGTATGTGTTTGTACTTGCAGAGCCTTATATTTATATAGGCTCTGTAAATCACCATTATAACTGGATCACTCTGTGTGTGTGTGTGTGTTCCTCCTCTCTAACAGGCAGCAGAACCAGATGATGTGGTCTACAGCACAGTGGCCCCACACCAGAGATAGGTCTGTGTGATCAGTGCAAACCATAATGTTTGCTATTTCCTTTCCTTTGCTGCACTTGACATTTTATCTGCACCATCTGACAAACTGATTGTTGTCTATTAGTAACCTATATGACTGGTATGTTCACTGATAACTGAATGTTCACTTTCTCTCCAGCAGGAGACAACAGCACAACAGAGACTGAGTAAAGTCCCTCCAAATGACAAACCTAGGCCTTGTTCCATTTGACTTCCTAGCTCCTACCTCTGGGGGTTACTGATCTGGAAGGACTGAATAAGACTAATGCCAGTCTATCACAGTCTTGTTCTTTTTCATTGTGCAGGCTCTGCTGGCTTAATAATGCCAGTGATGATGTATTATTACAAAGGCAGATGAATTTAGTGTAATTTTAGATTTTCTGAAAAACTAACAAAGTAAGATACTGTGTCTGCTGTAAGTCAGTGTTCCTCTGTGTATTCCAATGTTTAATGTATTCCACTGACCATGTGTATTTCCATGCTTCATATCTCAAATAAACTACTATAACAAGAAGTTTACCTGAAACGAATGCATGTACAACATCATTAAAAGGGGCTTAAAATACTTACAGTGCCTTTGGAAAGTATTCAGAACCCTTTACTTTTCCCACATTGTTAGGTTACAGCCTTATTCTAAAATTGATTGAATTGATTTTTCCCCCTCATCAATCTACACACAATACCCCATAATGACAAGGCAAAAACTGTATTTTTTTGTACACATTTTTGCTAATTAAAAAAATGAAAAAAAAATGTAAATATCACATTTACATAAGTATTCAGACCCTTTACTCAGTACTTTGTTGAAGCACCTTTGGCAGCAATTACAGCCTCAAGTCTTCTTGGGTATGACGCTGCAAGCTTGGCACACCTGTATTTGGGGAGTTTCTCCCATTCTTCTCTGCACATCCTCTCAACCTCTGTCAGGTTGGATGGGGAGCGTTGCAGCACAGCAATTTCAGGTTTCTCCAGAGATGTTCGATCGGGTTCAAGTCCGGGCTCTGGCTGGGCCACTCAATGACATTCAGAGACTTGTCCTGAAGCCACTCCTGCGTTGTCTTGGCTGTGTGATTAGGGTCGTTGTCATATTGGAAGGTGAAACTTCGCCCCAGTCTGAGGTCCTGAGCGCTTGTTGGGTATTCTTTCAGTAGAGTGGTACCCAAGATCAGACCCCATAGGTTAAAAATAGTACATCTTTCAAGACTATAAAGATTAAAATATAGCCAATTATAAAGACGTGGTAAATCTTTCTAGACTATAAAGACTCAAATATAGCTAATTATAAAGACAGAGTGTGGTACAGAATGGTACGGAGGATGAGGCAATAGGACTAAGTGATGTGGAGTGTGGTACCGAGTGGTCTATCTTGATTCTACAAAAATTCTGGAAGAACTTTGATTTTTAATAAGTATAGTGATAATTTTCCACGACACGCTCTGGAGCAGGTTTTCATCAAGGGTCTCTCTGTACTTTGCTCCATTCATCATTGCCTCGATCCAGACTGGTCTCCCAGTCCCTGCCGCTGAAAAACATCCCCACAGCATGATGCCGCCACCACCATGCTTCACCGTAGGGATAGTGCAGGTTTCCTCCAGCCGTGACGATTGGCATTCAGGCCAAAGAGTTCAATCTTGGTTTCATCAGACCAGATAATATTTTTTCTCATGGTCTGAGAGTCTTTAGGTGCCTGTTGGCAAACTCCAAGCGGGCTGTCATGTGCCTTTTACTGAGGAGTGGCTTCAGTCTGGCCATTCTACAATTAAGGCCTGATTGGTGGAGTGCTGCAGAGATGGTTGTCCTTCTGGAAGGTTCTCCCATCTCCACAGAGGAACTCTAGAGCTCTGTCAGAGTGACCATTGGGTTCTTGGTCACCTCCCTGAACAAGGCCCTTCTCCCCCGATTTCTCAGTTTGGCTGGGCGGCCAGCTTTAGGAAGAGTCTTGGTGGTTCCAAACTTCTTCCATTTAAGAATGATGGAGACCATTGTGTTCTTGGGGACCTTCAAGGCTGCGGAAATGTTTTGGTACCCTTCCCCAGATCTGTTCCTCAACGCTCTACTGACAATTCCTTCGACCTCATGGCTTGCTTTTTACTCTGACATGCACTGTCAACTGTAGGACCTTATATAGACTGTTGTGAGCCTTTCAAAGTCATGTCCAATCAATTACCAATTTACCACAGGTGGACTCCAATCAAGTTGTAGAAACATCTCAAGGATGATCAATGGACACAGGACGTACCTGAGCTCAATTTCGAGTCTCAGAGCAAAGGGTCTGAATACTTATGTAAATAAGGTATTTTAGTTAATAAACTTGCAAACATTGCTAAAAACCTGTTTCCGCTTTGTCATTATGGGGTATTGTGTGTAGATTGCTGAGGAAATTGTTTTATTAAACCATTTTAGTATAAGGCTGTAATGTAACAAAATGTGAAAACATTCAAGGGGTCTGAATATTTCCAAAGGCACTGTAAATACAGTATTTTCAGAATGCAGAGCACAATTTCATCTCACAAGAGGTTAGGATCAATTCTACTGCTTGCACACAACTATCTGGGACCGTATCGAGCGTCTCAGAGTAGCAGTGTTGATCTAGGATCAGATCCCCCCCGGCCATGTAATCTTATTCATTGGGATCTAAAAAGGCTAAACTGATCCTAAATCAGCACTCCTACTCTGAGGCTCTTGATACATACGGCCCCAGGTCTACAAGACAGTCAGTGCCATTAGGACAGTACATTCGGAAAGTATTCTGTAATTTGCACAAAAGAAAAGCCACGAAAAGGCCACGCGTTTCAATGCATGCCATCGGAACCGGAAAGTCCGTATTTTATTGTAAATGTTTACAATTCTACATGTGAGGTTATAGTTTTGACAAGACAAAAAAGAACGATAATAAAATGTAACAAAAATAAATCCATCTGTTGAATAGACAGTGTAGCTCAGTTGGTAGAGCATGGCGCTTGCAACGCCAGGGTTGTGGGTTCGATTCCCACGGGGGGCCAGTATGAAAAAAATAAAAAAATGCACTCACTAACTGTAAGTCGCTCTGGATAAGAGCGTCTGCTAAATGACTAAAATGTAATGTAAAATGTATGGGTGGCGACGAGTTGATGCAGAATTCCTTACTATGAATGAGCTGACTGAGTTTTCATTAAACTTGCTTGAGAGATTTTAAGGAGAGAAATCCTTATCTGACATTATAAGCATGCATCTCTGCCATCTCTTACTCTTCAAGCCAAGCTACACAGGTACAGTATAATGTGTGAATAGGATCTCTTGGAAGTTTAGTCTCTCATCCTTCCTACATGGCTAAATGGTCCATATGAAAGCATGGACACCATTTCCGAAACAGATGCACAACCGTAGTACTTATCTGTTCGTCATATCTCCACCATAAAGCCAGCGCAGAGAAATATAATGAGTGATGCTAATATCTGCTCACTTAGAAAACGTACTGTACCACAGGCTATAGTGGCATCATCGAAGAACAAGAGTCAATAGCTCATTCATTTACATTTACATTTTAGTCATTTAGCAGACGCTCTTATCCAGAGCGACTTACAGGAGCAATTAGGGTTAAGTGCCTTGCTCAAGGGCACATCGACAGATTTTTCACCTAGTCGACTTGGGGATTAGAACCAGCGACCTTTCGGTTACTGGCACAACGCTCTTAACCACTACGCTACCTGCCGCCCCATTCAACAGTGGTATAGGCTACATTTCACCAACCTAACATTATATGTTTCATCATTTCATTCCCAATTTGATAAGTTGAACAGTGGTAGTAGCGGTGAACTCACACACATTAACCCTTGCCAGTACAGTAGGGTCAATGCTGAAACATGGGATTCTATTGTAGTTATACTGAGGGGGACACAGTCACTAAAAACAGGAAATGACATAAGCAGACCGAGCCCCCACAGGAATTGTCATGGTAACAGAATACCTGTTCATACAGAATTCATCATGTATTACACTCATTCTAATACATTGTTCAGCTCCAGCTCTTTCTGACAAGGTTAAAATGAAAGAATAACAGTTTTAAATACTTTGTAAAAGTGTACAAATCACCTTTCTACATAAGAATACTGTTCGTTCCATTTTCAATTTATCCCCAGACATTCTGATCAATATCTATAACTGCAGATACTTGATCGGAAAACAATACGACAAACATGTAGAGAAACATAAAGCCTTTAGTGTTTTATACACACACAGTGGTCTGGGAAAAGAAGTGTGGAAAGCCTCTTCTCCTGGTATATAAAAGTGCCTCAGATGGGCCATAGAGTCAGTGGTCATAGGCCCATCTGTAGAGTAGTGTTCTTAGGTCAGTTTAAAATCCTTCATGTGGTTTGGTCTCTCAACGTTTCTTCACGTGATTGTTGGTCTCTCCTTGTACAGTCCTATTGAATAAAGCCTGTGTGGATCTGCATCTCAATTGTTGCTCCATCTCAATCATCTCCCATATTACTTAACAGATCAGAGCAGATGAAAGAGAGAAGATGAGGAGAGGTATTGGACCAATGAGATGCAGCCAGTGTCACAGTTCAGGATTGACAGGGGGTCTAAGCCAGGCTTCTCTGTCTGGGCTTGATTCTTGGGTAAAGCTGTTGAGAAAGCAGACACACAAACACCTTATTAGATACATCGGAACACTATCAACCAATCAACCTCTTAATGGAAAGTTATTCAGTAATGTTTAACTTGACGAAACACAGTTCTGACACAGTGTGACTCACCCCCAGAAGGTTCCGAGGGATGTACCCCTCCGTTTCGCCCATGCGCGCCCACCACCACTCGATCTCATCCTCGTCCTCTCTGCGGACGATGGTCATGCAGTCTCCCTCGTGGAACGCCAGCTCGTCAGAATTATCATTGGAGTAGTCCCACAGGCCGTAGACCACGCCCCTGTTCATGATGCCCATCTTCTCCTGCACTCCTGAAGGAGAGAGAGGAGACAGGGTGTTAGTGGAACAAGAACACACACAAAAAGATGCAATGCACACACATTTTTACATTTTAGTCATTTAGCAGACACTCTTATCCAGAGCGACATACAGTTAGTGCGTGCATACACACACACACAGATATATACACGCATACACACAAACGGCAAATGCAGATGACAGCTACAGGTGTACGTCCACATACATCATCATCACAGGCACAGTATCATCAACAACCACACAGCCCACTGTCCTTTCAACGCAAATAGAAACAAAGACTTTCCCCAGACATAACACTTAAGGCTATAGTACCAGTTGTTGTTGAGCTACTGACCGTAGAGGAACTGGGAGCACTGGGTGTATCCCTCCTCCATCTCCTCGCACTTATCCGCTGCCGTCTGCATGTCGCTGTAGGTCATAGCAAACACCGCTGCTCCCGACTCAACCAGGAACTTACACACCTGCACGTTATTACAGGAGGCCGCGCAGTGCAGGGGAGTCCTGAGAGAGAGGGAGAGGAAGAAAGAGAAAGGGAGGGAAGAATGAGGGAGATGGAAAGGAAGAAAAAACATCAAAGCATATATTCCTCAATACTTTCAAGTTAGATGAGTCAGACTCCCTTGCTGGCTTTTGTATGGATCAGAATCAGAGCTGTTGGCAGCGTCCACTCACCAGCCATCGCTGTCGGCTGCATTGACATTGACACCAAACTGGACCAGGAACTTGACGATCTCTGTGTGTCCGGCACAGACTGCGTTGTGGAGGGCTGTGATCCCCTCATCATTAGGCAGACTAGGGTCCTCCACCTGAGATTGGAGAGAGAGGTGGATAAGATCTTTACAACTTGCTTTACACACACACACACACACACAGATAATATTTTACACAATACACCCTTTTGATAGAAATGATCATCAGCTAAGACTACAAAACATTAAGACTACTTCACTTTGAGTGTGATGGTTTACCAGCTACCATGCTACCTGCTATTACAAAAACACCTTACAAATGTTTCTTCACTACACACAAGCACTTGTAAACACTGTTCCTCTGTGAAAATCTTTGTTTAAAAAATACCTTAATAGAGAGCCACTTTAGGAAATAAGACACGGTAACACTACAGTATCTATACATACAGAACTATAGTCTTACCTCGTAGATGATCCTCTGGACCAGGTCAAACTCTCCCTCCAGAGAGGAGTCCAGGAGCAGGGCCAGGGGGTTAAACTTCACCCTCATACTGTGGTCGATCCTCTCGGAGCCAGTCTTTCTCAGGTTGGTCCTCTTCCCCTAGTACAGACACACGGAGGTGAGTACACTTTTTACACAACGTCACACCTTGATGATATCACTCAGCCACGATGAGACACTCTCAACAAGGAAGTGTCTGAGGATGTTCGCTAGTGTCCTGTCCCATCTCTGTATGGATGGAGTTGTGCAAGTCCTTGTGTGTCGCATAGAAAATCTTTTCGCAGTTCATATAAATGGGTTCCAGTCCACCAAATAATAATAAAATGGACGCAATGCATAAACGATTCGATTGAGCATCCAGAGTATCCTTTGAATGCATACAGTATCTACTCAAGATTGAAGGGTCCTGTTCCTTCGACAACTAGCTCAGTACTGATCTGACTCTAACAGAGCCAAATCAGTCATGAAACAAATTAAGGTTTTACTAAACAACCCGATTATTATACAACCAAATTATAGCTATTACTGGCCCCATGAAAGAAAGGGCCCTTTTTTGGGTCTTAACAGGGGTCCATTGGGTTTAGTGGCAGAGAGCAAGGACTGGGAGGCAAAAATGGGTCAGACCATTCATCAACACTCCTAGGGTAAGACCCCGCTGATAAACCTACTTATAGGGGATCAACAATGGAATGCAGCTTGTTGTTTACTTACAGGGCAGAAAATACCCAAAGCTCATTTCAATGTCACCTTTGGACGGGGGAATGTGAATGCTTACTGAAATGCAGCTGTTTTCTTGTCCGATTAGGGCATAATAAACAGGTTCCACTTCCTACTATACCTGATCAGGATTACTGTGCTTATCTAACCAGGGAGAGGGTGGAGTGGTTAGCCAGGGCGAGGTGAGGTCAACAGAGGTGAACATGTACTGTATAACCTGAACAGTCAGAACAACCCCATGATAATCAACCAGTGAGGCATACAGTACTGTAGAGTATAGTACAGTTGGCTATTGTTAATATGGCTTAGGACTGTGATGTTAAAGCTATTTGCAGCAAGTAGAGAGGTTGTGTCTGATTGTGGACTAGTGTTTATGGGTGTCATGGAAGGCACTTAAAATTAAAACAGTGCAACTAATAGGTTCCTTACCGGTGGCAATGTGACCTGTCCGGTGACCTCCGGTGCCTGCATGCTGAAGGTGTCCTCCCCCAGGATCTCCTGCTCAGCCCCGCTGGGGTAGGGTGGTGGAGGGTAGGGGGGGAACTCTTCCATGAAACTCTCTGGAGGAGAGTGCAGGCTGGGTGGGCTGGGCTCCTCCATGCCTGCAGCAGCAGGGGGCGGTGGGGGGACCCGGGGCTGGTCAGGTCGAGGGGCAGGGTGGGCTGGATGAGGAGGGGGGGTGAACTCCTCTCTGTCTCCCTCTGGGATGGCTGGTGGGGGAGTCTTCTCTGCTGGGGGTGGGGGTAGGAGGTTAGGGGTGGGGGGAGGGACTTCACCCGCCTCCAGTTTTACACTTTCCAGTTGGCTGCTCTCTCCACCAATCTGGGCACCTGGAACACCAGGCACCGCCCCTCCCTCCTCCTTCACAGCCTCGGGTGTGGTGGGCGTAGTGAGGATGGTCTCCATGGCAGCCAGCGTGGTCTTCTGATAGAGCAGTTTCTGGATGTTGGGTCCTGCTGGGCCCTCGGGCTCTGTGATGGAGCTGCGTTTCTTCAAGGGCCGTGGGGCATTGTACAGCTTCTTCCTGAGGGCCTCCAGGTCCCCGTCACTCTGATGGCGGTAGGGGTTAGAGATGAAGGGCAGCAGCTTGGTTGGGCTGAGGGGGCGGGGGGTGCGCTCTGTCTCCCCCTGATGGCCCTCGGTGGAGGGGCCCTGATGGGCCCCGTGGTCCACCTCAGAGAGCTGGTCTGGGGAATGCCGCTGCTCGCTATACGGGTTCTCTGGGTGCTGGGGGCCACCACCGGAGATCACAGGCTTACCGTACACTACACACACACAGAGACACACAGAGAGTAGGTCAGACTATAAAGTGGGCTTCGAAAATACCATTAACTAGACAACCTATTTTCCTGCTGGTACACAACACTACTCCAGGACAAGCATTGAAGAAAATATATAGTTTCAATCTATTGTTGTTGAGCAAGGCAACACACAGCTTAAAATGTTCATAGTGGGAGTAGCCTAGGTAACAGATGGCTGTGCTCCTGACTGCATGGCTGAGCTGTGGTGTGTCAACATGTGTCAGCCAGGTCAGGTTGGTGGATTTGCCTTGAGGGAGATCCACAGGGATGACACGCGCACCCTGGCCTTATGGACTCTTAGTGAAGTGTGCAAGTACACAAAATACCTAACTTTTACAAAATAAGACACAGCCACTGTCAGAAAGGCCCAAAAGCTTCTTCTGATCATGTGACCTGACCAGGAAAAACTCCAGATTCTCGTTATATCCTATACGTATGTCGTCTTATCATAACTAGGACCACACATTTTCCCTAGCCACGGCAGACTCTAGAGAGTTCATTTCCTCTGCTTCACTCAAGGGGAGGAATCCCACAGGGCTGAGACGAACTCATTATAAACCTAACGTTAGTTAGATATATCTGCGTATGTGCAACCCGTTAATAGTAACAGGGTAATGAGGAGGATTGCTTTAATGTTTTATTTAACGATTAACATGCCTCAGGGCTTATTACCTTTAATTAGATTCACTAACTGCAGCTTGAGTCAGGACCCTCTCCGCTGGCTAAATGAATCACTGTACTCTCCAAGGTACTTAGCATAGGACTGACGTCAGCCTGCTTTAAACGCTCTGTTAGGAGTTACTCTACCAGTCAGTGTAGAACAGAGAAAAGAACAAGAGCAGAGACAAGACTGTTTCTACTACTCTGGTATTCAGTGAAATGCTTTGGAGCCATGGTTCACATATCGGCCTTGATTGACAAAGTCATATTGTGAAATCAATCCTATTCCTTCATTTTTAAGACAAATAGAAAAATGACTCCAGACAGACAGTAGTCCAGATACAGTGGACAGGAACTGAAGAGGAACCAGAAGGTAGTCTTACCACTGACAAATCCGTTGCCTCGGCTCTGGCTCCTGTTGAGAGACCCCTGTATGGCCGGTGGGTAGGGCTTGCCTGGGGTTGGCTGCTGGGTGTACATGGAGTAGATGGAACTGGCTGCCAGGGTCTGGGGCTTGCTCATGTCTTTAGGTAGCTCTGGAGTGAAGGGTCTGACGGTGGCCGCCAGAGGGGGGTCCTGCTTGGAGGGCAGGGGCAGGGTCTGGCTCTGGGAGTGGGGCAGGGGCAGGGGGACACGGGTCTGGGCCGTCTCCTGGGGCTGCTGGTGCTGGCTGGGGGGCTTGGCCTTGGGGAAGGTGCCAGCGTTGAGGCCTGGCTTTCCGTAGGGGGCGCCACTGGGGGCTTTGGGTTTGCTGGCGACGGGTGGAGGAACCTTGACTGCAGCTTTAGGAGCAGACTGGAGAAAGGAGTAGACAGAGGAGCTGGTTAGATGACAGATAGGTACTCACATACTACACACACAAACATACCACCCACACACTCCTGATGTCAAGAGTTAATGTCAATGATACTTACATTACAGTTAACCCATTACAATACAACAACGTCTCATTTAACCCCATTACTCACAGGCTTACACTCAAATCTCTGCATGGAACAACATCATTGGGAATCAAATGTCCTGTTAAAGGTGTACTGTGTACATGTGCTTGTATGGTAGGTACATATGTGTGTGTGCATTGGCAAAACTGCTCAAAGCTGTTGGTAGGAAGGTTAGCACGTATTGGATTCAGTTCAATTAAAGTTCACGTTTTCAACTTTCTGGACACCAGCCATTTTGGGTCTGCAGTAAAAGTAGCTAAGTGGTCATTTTGGTTCAGTTGTACTGTTCCTACCTGGGCGTCTCTGACCAGGTCGTCACTGCTCTGGTTCTTGCGGAGGGAGGAGGCAGACACCTCAGTTGGCTCAAACATGGAGAACGGACGCACCCTCCTGTCCCTCTTCATCCCCTCCGTCTCACCTACACACAACACCACCACGAGTGTTACCATAACAACATAAGAACTAGACCCAAACAGGGAAAACAATGGCACAACCCTATCTGGACTGTGAAACTAATTAAGTGCATATTCAAGAGTTTGTGTGGGCTCACGGATATGATTTGGCCACTACATATCTGGTGGTGGTTACCTTGCTCTGTGTTGGGGCTGGAGTGAGAGGTCATTCTGGGCAGTATGGAGGATGACCCGTGACTACTGCTGTTGGACTCTGGTCCTGAAGAGCCCCACTCTGCCAGCTTACCTGAGAGAGGGGGGTGGTTAGGCAGTTGTGGTTTAAGGGGCGTTTTATAACAATACTTTCAATTCAAACCAATGGAAGGTCAAATATGTTTAGACAAGGTCCGGCCGAAGCTGGGCTATAATAGCAATACAGGAAAAACCCTGTGGCAGGGACTTCCCTTTTCTCAGCAAAATTAAGACAGTACAGTACGGTTTCCCAAACTCGGTTTTGTTTTTTGCCGTAGCACTACACAGCTGATTAAAATAGCCAACTCATCATCAAGGTTTGATTATTTGAATCCACTGTGTCGTGCTAGGGCAAAAAGCAAAACGTGCACCCGGGGGGGGGGGGGGCCAGGACCGAGTTTGGAAACCCTGCAGTACAGGAGTGCAAAATGTGGTAAAACTAGCTAGTTCTTCCTATCTTTCACGTTTCCTCAATAACTGATTTAGACCTGATTGGGCCAGTCTGAAACCACATGGTTGTCAGACCGTCAGTTCTGCTGGAGGTAATGTGTTTGTTCCAACTGACCCATTTAGAAACGCTGCTGAATCCAGTGTGGAAAGGAAATGTGAACAGGCACAGTTTAATTCAACAAACAGGCAGTATAGCCTCACAGCAACACAAACAGAGATCTGGCAGAAAAATATTAAATAAGAATGTATTTTTGTGTTCTTCATAACAAACATACACACTCGCACACACACCTACATACACACACAACTAAGACCATATAGCATCCACTGAAAGGGTAACACACAGCAAGCACAAGCTGACACACACAGAGAGAGAGAGAGCACACACACACACACACACACACACACGGAGTGTGTACCTTTTCTCTTAGCCCGCAGTTCTTTCAGAGGATTAAGCAAGAACATGGCTTCTAAAATAAACACAAAAATGCACACGAGAGACAAAAAGTAGAGGAGCCTTAGATATCCAGATATCCAGTGTTGAAGGTCCGGTCCGTTATAGGCCCGAGCAGGTGGCCCAGTGTGAGCATGGTGAGGGGTGCAGATGGCCTGGCTGGACCTGGGACCAGGCAGGGACCCTCCCCGTTAGTCTGCAACCCGATGGAGAAGAGCTCTGGAGGGGTTTGGACTGGCTGCAGATTCCCCTCTTCCCTCCCCAATCTGTTCCTCTCTTCTTTCCCACTGCATATTGGCTCATCACGCAGAAGTGATTGCATGCAACATCACAGCAGACTGGGGAAAACCTGTTACTTTAACTCCTGCGTTTCCCTGGTTTCCGCTGGAGAATGACATGTAAAGGAAAAGATGGACCGATGAGGAAGAGGAGAGGGGGGTGGAGAGAAAGGGAAGGTGCCTCGTGGTGCTGTGTTGTTTAGCGGTTGAAATCACTAGTTTTGGTGTCATATCATACATTTTTTATGACGCCACCCCCTGTCCCTCTTACACTCACACCAACACACACCTTCTACTGGGGGAGTTATTTGATGCGGACTGAACGAGTGAGACTGAGTTGAGTAGAGAATGAAAACAGGCCAACGTCTGTAAATGGGCTTTCACTGGTTGTCTTGGCTGTGTGTGTATCATTAGTGTTGTCTTCATGCAATTTGACTGAATCAAAGCCCTTAGTGTGAGCATTAGGGTCCACTCCATTTCAGTCAATTCAAAAGGTGAATGAAATTCATGAGTTAAAAGTCCTCATAGGAAATAATGGGTTGATTGAGATTATGGGATTGAGCCTATTAAATCTCTCTACCGGTATTCTATTCAGCGAGAATGAGTCAAACCTCCACGGGATCGGTGTCCCGTATACGGGACGATTGAGCTAACGTGCGCTAATGTGATTAGCATGACTGCTGTAAGTAACAGCAAACTTTCCAGGACATGGACAGGTCTTATATGGGCAGAAAGCTTAAATTCTTGTTAATCTAACTGCACTGTCCAATTTACAGTAGCTATTACAGTGAAAAAATATCATGCTATTGTTTGAGGAGAGTGCACAACAACAAAAAACATATCACGGCAACTGGTTTAATACAGTCACCTCTGAAGGTAAATAATGTAATTACATTCAGTAATCTTGCTCTGATTTGTCATCCTAAGGGTCCCAGAGATAAAATGTAGCATGGTTTTGTTTGATAAAATCAATTTTTATATTCAAATGTAGGAACTGGGTTCTACAGTTTGAACCAATGCTGTCTCTGGCTCCACACCGCCCCGCCATCTAGATGTGTGAAAGTTAGTGTATAAGCTAATGATCCATCATGTATGACATTCCTGGGAGTGTGTAAACTTACATTTTGTATTGCCATATCATTTTTGTATGTTCTCTAAAGTTATGTACTTGAAATTGTATCAATTGACCAATTTGGCACATTTGGGCAGACTTGATACAAAATAGTCCAGTATTGCAACACTTCACTGGATCAATCTGAAACTTTGTCCACACACTGCTGCCATCTAGTGGCCTAAATCTAAATAGCGGCTAAACTCCAACATTATATTGTGGCCTTTCTCTTGCATTTCAAAGATCATGGGAAAAAAAAAAAAAAAAATAGAAAATGCATGTTTTTTGGTTTGTATTATCTTTCACCAGATCTAATCTGTTATATTCTCCTACATTAATTTCACATTTCCACAAACTTCAAAGTGTTTCCTTTCAAATGGTATCAAGAATATGCATATCCTTGCTTCAGGTCCTGAGCTATGGGCAGTTAGAAAAGGGTCCGATCCTTAAGAGGTTAATCACAAGTGAGTAAAATACTATTGGATTTCTTATTCCTACTGAGATGCACTGTAGAATACATGAAATGGGGCCGAGCTCTCTGCCATCCAGGACCTCTATACCAGGCAGTGTCAAAGGAAAGCCCTAAAAATGGTCAAAGACTCATGCCACCCAAGTCATAGACAGCGAAGATAAACATTTTTAGTTTTAAAGTTAATTTCCTGCAATTCTGCACATTTTGCCATGTGGCGTAGAAAAAATGTTGCCGTTTTACAGCACATTTCCTGCAATTCTACACATTTTGCATAGGGTGGAGGCACATTTTTATATAACTGATTATCAACGGCCCCACCCCAGTCGGTAATTCGACCACGCTTACTACAAGTTTAGATAGCTGGCTGCTAGACTAACTTACAATCAAAAAATAATAATGCTGGCATGGGCTAATTGAGTGACTGCTGATGCACAACCACATTTTAAAATTGCACCTTGTGTTCTATTAACCCAACTCTCAACAGTAAGTTGAGACACCGACTGAGTTCTCAAAAAAAGTATATATATATATATATATATATAATATAATATATATATATATATATATATATATATATATATATATATATATATATATATATATATATATATATATATACACACACACATACATACATACATACATACAGTGGGGAGAACAAGTATTTGATACACTGCCGATTTTGCAGGTTTTCCTACTTACAAAGCATGTAGATGTCTGTAATTTTTATCATAGGTACACTTCAACTGTGAGAGACGGAATCTAAAACAAAAATCCAGAAAATCACATGTATGATTTTTAAGTAATTAATTTGCATTTTATTGCATGACATAAGTATTTGATACATCAGAAAAGCAGAACTTAATATTTGGTACAGAAACCTTTGTTTGCAATTACAGAGATCATACGTTTCCTGTAGGTCTTGACCAGGTTTGCACACACTGCAGCAGGGATTTTGGCCCACTCCTCCTTACAGACCTTCTCCGGATCCTTCAGGTTTCGGGGCTGTGGCTGGGCAATATGGACTTTCAGCTCCCTCCAAAGATTTTCTATTGGGTTCAGGTCTGGAGACTGGCTAGGCCACTCCAGGACCTTGAGATGCTTCTTACGGAGCCACTCCTTAGTTGCCCTGGCTGTGTGTTTCGGGTCGTTGTCATGCTGGAAGACCCTGCCACGACCCATCTTCAATGCTCTTACTGAGGGAAGGAGGTTGTTGGCCAAGATCTCGCGATACATTGCCCCATCCATCCTCCCCTCAATACGGTGCAGTCGTCCTGTCCCCTTTGCAGAAAAGCATCCCCAAAGAATGATGTTTCCACCTCCATGCTTCACGGTTGGGATGGTGTTCTTGGGGTTGTACTCATCCTTCTTCGTCCTCCAAACACGGCGAGTGGAGTTTAGACCAAAAAGCTCAATTTTTGTCTCATCAGACCACATGACCTTCTCCCATTCCTCCTCTGGATCATCCAGATGGTCATTGGCAAACATCAGATGGGCCTGGACATGCGCTGGCTTGAGCAGGGGGACTTTGCGTGCGCTGCAGGATTTTAATCCATGACGGCGTAGTGTGTTACTAATGGTTTTCTTTGAGACTGTGGTCCCAGCTCTCTTCAGGTCATTGACCAGGTCCTGCCGTGTAGTTCTGGGCTGATCCCTCACCTTCCTCATGATCATTGATGCCCCACGAGGTGAGATCTTGCATGGAGCCCCAGACCGAGGGTGATTGACCGTCATCTTGAACTTCTTCCATTTTCTAATAATTGCGCCAACAGTTGTTGCCTTCTCACCAAGCTGCTTGCCTATTGTCCTGTAGCCCATCCCAGCCTTGTGCAGGTCTACAATTTTATCCCTGATGTCCTTACACAGCTCTCTGGTCTTGGCCATTGTGGAGAGGTTGGAGTCTGTTTGATTGAGTGTGTGGACAGGTGTCTTTTATACAGGTAACGAGTTCAAACAGGTGCAGTTAATACAGGTAATGAGTGGAGAACAGGAGGGCTTCTTAAAGAAAAACTAACAGGTCTGTGAGAGCTGTAATTCTTACTGGTTGGTAGGTGATCAAATACTCATGTCATGCAATAAAATGCAAATTAATTACTTAAAAATCATACAATGTGATTTTCTGGATTTTTGTTTTAGATTCCGTCGCTCACAGTTGAAGTGTACCTATGATACAAATGACAGACCTCTACATGCTTTGTAAGTAGGAAAACCTGCAAAATCGGCAGTGTATCAAATACTTGTTCTCCCCACTGTATATGTATATATGTGTATATATATAATATATATATACACATATATATATATATATACACACATATATATAATATATATACACACACACACATACACATACACACACACACACACACACACACACACACAGTACCAGTCAAAATTTGACACCTACTCATTCAAGGGTTTTTATTTTTTCTTTAAAATAGCCAATCTTTTCCTTGATGACAGCTTTGCACAATCTTGGCATTCTCTCAACCAGCTTCATGAGGAATGCTTTTGCGGTCCTCATGAGAGCCAATTTCATCATAGCGCTTGATGATTTTTGCGACTGCACTTGACGAATCTTTCAAAGTTCTTGACATTTTCCCGGATTGACTGACCTTCATGTCTTAAAGTAATGATGGACTGTCGTTTCTCTTTGCTTATTTGAGCTGTTCTTGCCATAATATGGACTTGGTCTTTTACCAAATAGGGCTATATTCTGTATACAACCCCTACCTTGTCACAACACAACTGATTGGCTCAAACACATTAAGGAAAGAAATTCCACAAATTAACTTTTAACAAGGCACACCTGTTAATTGAAATGCATTCCAGGTGACTACCTCATGAAGCTGGTTGAGAGAATGCCAAGGCAAGAATCTCAAATCTCAAATATATTTGGATTTGTTAAACACTTTTTTGGTTACTACATGATTCCATATGTGTCCTGCTCTGTGTACAATGTAGAAAAAAGTAAAAATAAAGAAAAACCCTGGAATGAGTAGGTGTGTCCAAACTTTTGACTGGTACTGTATATACATACAGTGTGTAGGTGTGTACACACAAAAAATATATAAAAATGCAACATGAAACAATTAACGATTTCACTGAGTTACAGTTCATATAAGGAAATCAGCCCTAATCTATGGATTTCATGAATGGGCAGAGGCACAGCCACTGGGGAGCCAGGCCCAGCCAATCATAATGAGTTTTTCCCCACAAAATGGCTTTTTTACAGACAGAAATACTCCTCAGTTTCATCAGCTGTCCAGGTGGCTGGTCCCAGACTATCCCACAGGTGAAGAAGCCGGATGCGGAGGTCCTGGGCTGGCGTGGTTACACGTGGTCTGCGGTTTTGAGGCCGGTTGGACATACTGCAAAATTCTTTTAAACGGCGTTGGATGCGGCTTATGGTATAAAAATGTACATCCAATTATCTGGCAACAGCTCTGGGTGGACATTCCTGCAGTCAGCATGCCAATTGCACGCTCCCTCAAAACTTGAGATATCTGTGGTGATGTGTTGTGTGACAAAACTGCACATTTTACAGTGGCCTTTAATTGTCCCCCGCACAAGGTGCACCTGTGTAATGATGATCATGCTGTTTAATCAGCTTCTTGATATGCCACACCTGTCAGGTGGATGGATTATCTAGTCAAAGGAGAAATGCTCACTTACAGGGTTGTAAACAAATTTGTGCACACAATTTGAGAGAAATAAGCCTTATTGTGTGTATGGAAAGATTCTGGGATTTTTTATTTCAGTTCATGAAACATGGGACCAACGCCTTACATGTTGTGTTTATATTTCTGTTCAGTATATATACACACACAGTACATATTTTTTGGTGGAAAATTGGTCTGCGGGTCTACAAAAGGGCCGCCAGTTGCCCATCCCTGATCTACATTGACCCTTTATGCATTAACTATTTTGACTCATCACATGTGCTGCTGTTACTGTTTATTATCTATCCCTACCTATATGTACATATCTACCTCAACTACCTCGTACCACTGGACATGGACTTGGTACTGGTAGCCCATGTATATAGCCAAGTTATCGTTACTCATTGTGTATTTATTCCACGTGTTATTTTCCCATTATTTTTAAGTGATTCTCTCTGCATTGTTGGGAAGTAAGCGTAAGGAAGCGTTTCACTGTTAGTCTACACCTGTTGTTTACGATGCATGTGACAAATAACGTGATTTGGGGGAGAGAAATCTGATCATTCTACATCGTAGCAACCTGCACTTTACCCCCCTCAGGTGGATTAAGTCGGTCATTACAGAAAGAAATGCACACCACTGAGTGCCAACATACAGTAGATTAAGTACATTGATAGTAGCTATCTTACCAAACTGAAGACGATACTACTGAGCTTTCCCTGGTTCAACCTCTGACTGCACAATGACACAGCAACAAGCTGGAATTTCACCCTGGCAGAGATAATTCTCCAATGGGTGGAGGAAAAATGAGGGATAAGGAAAAGGTAGGCTATCATCCACAGACGGGCACCACAACACAGCAACAGCCTCATGGCTGATTCAATCGCAGCACAATATAAGTGGCATGGCTGCAAAGTTAACTCATTAGCCCGTAACCACTGATTCAAGGTCAGGTATCTTATCAATTCCCCTAATGGTTCAGGTTCAAATTAGGAGTAGGGTAAACTGATCCTAGATCTTTGGTTAGGGGCATTGGTAGAGGAAACGGGCACATCAGGTCGTAGGCTACCTTCTGAGCTTAGAGTCACATCACAACCAGAGCCCGTCTGTATCAACGGGGGTATCCCAGAATCCTCGGCTCCTGCTGAGGGTGGGGAACGCAGTCACATGTCAAACCTCTTACAAGCTCGTCATCGTGACTTTGTTAATCACTCAGCTGAGGTATAGAGTACCCAACATAGTTAAAAGGGGCTGTGAGCAAAAGAGGTGAAGTGGAGACTTCAATTGACAGGCTCACTTTGCCCGGGCCAAGAGGGAAGAAGTGAGAGGGGAAAGGTGAAAGGTTGGGGTCACCGTCTCACCTGTGTTAGCCTTGTCCTGGGGGTCTAGGTGTGCGGGCAGGGTGGCGGTGCCGTCGGGGTAGGCAGCGGGTTTGACCAGCAGCTCGTGTCTCACTGGGCCGCGAGGCATGGTGGATGACTGGATGTACGGGCCGACGGCCGCGACACGAGACGGACCCTGCTGCTGCTGCTGACCCACCGGACCATCAGAGGGCAGCTAGAGGGAGAAAGAGAGATCGAGGGAGAGAAAGAGAGGGAAAGAGTTAGACACAGACAGTCCAGAGTGAGACAAATACACAGACCCAGCTGGTTATGAGTGGGATGCATCAGTGGGAAGGAACAACAGTGTCACTCACAGACTTACATAAAGAGTGAAAAGTACAGCGCAAAGACCAAAATAATATATTTCTTATGTAGTAGATTAGACAGTTACTATAACATCCATATGCCACTAGTCCTAAATACACAGAGTGGTTGAAGTTATGGATGAAAATATGATAAAAGCTCATTTAAAGTGGCACTCATTTTCACCTTATTTATCACCCGATTTACTTAACAAAAGACATCTCAATAGGTGGTCCAGGTACTGTATGTCATGACAAAGCAACAGTGGGGGGTGGGACTTTCCTCTTTTGTTCTCTATTGCTCTTCTATTGTTTTGCAAGCAAGGGGGGAGGCCAATGACATCACGGATTCCCATCAGACCAAGTCCTTGAATGCCCTACTCCTTGAAGTTTGCAGTTGTGTCTAAAAACACAATTTTGCTCAAAATGTATTTTTTTTACCATTTAGTATGTGTCCTTTACTGTATTTATACTTGGGATATCGCTTTTCAACAGTAAAACTTTGTATAAATTTTTTTCGCTAGAGGACATTTTTAAGGGAGCTAAACAGTGTTGAAAAATACTCCAACTATCCAACATAAAGCCTGATCAAGACTAACGCTGAAACATTTAGAAAAAAAACTGGACCAAACTAACAGCTTTACTTTCTAACATAGCCAGAGCCTTTCTCCGAAAGTTTCTGTTTCAGAAAAAACTTTAGCAGCTGTGTGAAACAAGGTCTTTACGCAACAGAGCAGATTAAATAAGTCACGCCATGCCCTTTAAAAACAGATCAAATCAACTGCACTCCGTTACTGGAAACAGAACGGGGGGAATGCAGTAAATCCTACGCCTGTTGCTGCTCTGCCACGTCATGCTGAAGAGATCAGTGTGTGTCTGTATGTCAGGTCCAGCTCTGTCATCAGTTACTGTACCTGCGGATGAGTGTCTTTAGTAGCCCTCTCCTTACCAGCGTAGCCATTCTTGAGAAACAAAAACACAAAAGGCAACAGCAGTTGAACACACTGGTAGTCAAACCTCATACAAGTACATAAGTCACTATTGATCAGTTCCTCCCATATGTTAAGCAAGGTGAAGTGATTCAAGGCTGGTATCTCTCAGGCTAGCGTCTTGAGACCAGTGTGGTTGAAACATGCCTACCGGGTGTCGTCAGACAGACCCTTGCTGTATAGTTTGCCAGAGAGAAGTGACAACGTAATGGCTCTTTGTGGCCATTAAGATTCCAGACAGACGGTCACTAAATCACCTCCTCAGCGAGTCCTGCTCTAGTCAGCCTTCAGCTCCTCTGCTTTCATCTGTAATAACTATATACACATTACACCTTTACCTCCTCAGCTGTCTCCTTTATTTATTTACCTTAGCTCTTCCCTTCATCAAACGAGAGGTAGACTTCTTCAATATTGGATGAAATTCCTTTCCATTTGTGACGTGTGGTTTTCATTTATATAAAAGGATTAAGCATGGATATTAAAGGGAAGGATTAATTCCACTACAGTATTATTAATTCAGTGAGTTTTAGCACTGCAGATTGGAGCGGGATCTAATGGTATAGAATGTGTTTAGCTTAGTAGACACTTTCATCCAGAGCTGCTTACAAAGCAGACTATTTGCACATAAACAGCTTAATAGATACAGTATTGCACATTATGGCACTCTCTACGCAAATATCATATTAACCAGGGAACATTGTGATCACAGTGGCATACACACATTAAAAGGAAATGTAAAACATTTTCAACTTCGTATTAGTCATCTCCAGCACCACCCCAACATCAAAATATGTGAAAGCGGCTGGTTTCTATGTTTGAAGTCAAAAGCGTAGAGGGAGATAAGTGTTTCCGATGACACCATTTGGCAACACTTTCAATATAATCTGGTCGGCATCATGTGATTTTAACCAACTATTAGTAGGCTTTTTTTTTTATACCAAAAAATATAAACCTGCCATTTTCACATAACATTATTATATTATGTTGATGTTGGGGTGGTGCTGGAGATGACGAATTTGAAGTAGAAAAATGTGGATATGTCCCATTAAATTATAAAACTTGGATTAGTAAGCATAAAGTTACTCAAATGGAGAGATAAATCTCAACTCCCCACATTAAGTTAGTTAGTTTGAGATATAACATGATAGTTATCAAGGAAAGTAAAGGGTGTCAAAATCAATAAGACCACCAAACCACCAGGGATTGTCTATTCGTTTGACAGAGGTTTTGTTTTTCCTATTCAAACACCTCTGATCGAGAATAGATTTTGTAAATTGACAACCACATGAAAAATCATAATAAATCATGCCTGTAGGATTTACTAACATAGTTTGAGTGCCAGAGCAAATCCTCCACAACCTCAACCACTCAGTTTCCATTTGACAAACACTCCTCGTCCTTACATGTTGTTCTTGTCCACTTATAGCTACAGCACATCTCATATGTCCTGACAATATCCTCACAAAATCTTTCAAAGACAGAACCGAGCATGTTTACATAGATTACAAAAGTGCCATGGAAACCACAGAAGTCAAAAACAACTCAGAGGAAGAGGGTTAGAGAGATATCAGGCAGTGATGTCAGAGCTCAGGCCTGATACCATCTCCTCTGGCATTCCTGTCTGCCAGCCAGAGCTCTAGTCTCCACTCCTGGAGTTGTTTTTGCCAAGCTGAGCTGAAGAGAGGGAGTGTTGAGTGTAAACGGAGATAGCAAATCAACTCCGTGACATCAACTCCTTCAATCCTGATCTTTGGGAGCCACCGGGTGTGCAGGCTTTTGCTCCAGCTGGGCACTAAAATACCTGAATCAGGTGTTATAGTACTGGGCTGGGGGAAAAATCTCCCCACTCTGAGGGTCCCAGGGACCAGGATTGAAGATTGCTGAATAAACAAAGATTGAACAAGTGAACTGTGGAAGGAGACACCAGAGGGTATTTCGGTCCTGTGAGGCAGTGATTTGTTTGTCAGTGCAGAAAGGCAGCGAGAGACGAGGTTGAGGAGTCTTACTTTTTTGATAGGGGCCGGCTCTGAGGGCCAGGGCATCTGTGGCTTTCAGAGGTAAACAGAGATACAGTGTGTTTATACTCTCCAGCCCCTAGGGGGCGCTCAGGTTATCACTTTTGATGGGATGTGCTTCACTATGTAAATATTTCAATTTCTTTGACCAAGTCTTGAGATGTCAAAGTAAGTGTTACGCATCCGTATGTGTGCGTGTGCGTGTACGTGTGCGTGCATGCATGTACAGTATGTGTGTATGTACACTACATGTGTGTGTACTCACCGGCAGGTTCTCTTTCTGCTGCAGAGCGGCCTTCTTCTTCCAGAGGCGGTCTCGGAGCTCACTGACCCGTTTGTCCATAGAGGCCACCTCCAGGTTGCGCTTGTTCAGACTGTCTCTCTGATGCTGCAGCTTGGCATTCTGTTCCTGGTTCAGCTTGTTACGCAGCTAGAGCAGACAAGAGATGACATGTCAGAGAGCTGAACTAGGATGGAGGACAGGGTAGAAGACATATGAGGCTATGAACTAGTGGTTCTGATGGCTCAGTTGATTAGTTAGGTCATGGTGGTAGGCATAGTTAAGGGTTTGAGTCCCACACGAGCCACATGCTAAATATATGTGATTTGAAAATACAGACATGGGTCAAATGGCCTGCATATGTCAAATACTTTCAAAGAATTGAGCTCCTGGGATTTCGTTTTCTAGGTACCATGGAATTGTCAATAGTCCCAAAAGTGCAAACTCGAAGCACACACACCTGCAGCTCCTTGTAGAGGTGATCCAGTTCAGCCACAGAGCTCTGGTTGTCTTTGAAGCTGTCCATCTTGCCGTTCTTGAGCATCTCCAGCTGTCTGTTTAGATCCTCCACCTTGGACACAGCCACCACCAGCTCTCTCTGCTTCTGTTGGAACAGACCGTTCATCTGCTCTATCTCCTCCACTACACAGACAGACAGACAGCAAGTGAGAGAGAGAGACATACACGCACGCAGACAGACAGGTTAGAACCAATCGATCAGTCAGTCATCCTACACAAATCCACCAATTAATTCACCACAATCAATCCACCAAACAACCAATCCCTTGCCCATTCATAGCATCACTGTGCTCACCCAGCTTGCCATTGCTGAGGCGTTTCTGCTCCACGTGGCCCTTGAGGGCCCGGACCTTCTTGAGCCTGGTCTCCTGGTTCTCCACGTTCTCCCTGAGACGCCGCAGCTTCTCCTGCTCGGACGCCTGCTGCCTCTCCTCCTGCTGCTTCAGGTAGCGCAGGCGCTGCTCCTAAAGAGGGAGCGAGGAGCCGGGTAGGGGAGAAAGAAGACAGGATGGTTATGGAGCCACCACTGCACAGAGTGATTAACTATCATTTCATAGACTGCATACTGGATCATTTTAACTGCTCATTTTAATTAGGCCAATGGGATACAACTACTGTACTGTATGTCAATTGTGATTTGTCTGCAATGTCTATAAATCTTTTTCAGTTCTTATAGTTGAAATGTGCTTTTGGCATGTTATCCTGCCAATGATACAGTACCTGTCATTAGTTATAACTCAACATTTGTCAAACCGATTATCACTACGGTGAGTCTAACAATGAACTACTCATTGCGCCATAAACGTGATAGGAATCTCCTGAGAAAGTTTTAACTTTAACACAACACTGTCTTTATCCAGCTCCCTTACAGGTGATCTGTGGTGATGGTAAGGTATGTTTACTTGGCTGCTCGCTCAGGGCTACATTCCTAAGCCTGTTGTGCTATCCTCTGGCTTCCCCTGACGAACACAGTTAGGATAAGCACAGACAGACAGACAGCACAGCTGGGCACACTGCGTGGAACAGACTGGGTTGATCCAAGCAAAGGCAGAACAGAAAAAAAATCACTTTTCTCAGTTTGACTGAGAAAAGAGAGAGACAGTAAGAGAGAGAGAGAGCAGACAGGTCTCTCTTGAAACAAGAGCATTGATCTCCATGAAACTTGAGCCTTGATAAATAAATGTAAAAAAAAATATACCAGTGGAAACTGAGGCTATGGTTCAAGATGCCTCAGCAACTACAGAAACCCTCGAAGGAAAGAAACCCATCAAATCAACCAAACTGTAATGCTTCAGCCTATTGCCCTTATCCAGCCAATACATCTTCTGTATCTGGAAAAAAGTCCTTATTGTGAACCATGGTTATAGTGATTAATGAGCAGAATCACATGTTAATGAGATGGGGAAAACACAACTGAAAGGCTCTCATCTGCACAACTATCCCTTATTTTCCACCTCCTGTGTGTATTGCCGAGCAATTAGTGCTTTTTGAGGTTGGTTTGGTTTCGGTTCGATTATTTAAAAATAATCATGGTTTTCAATTTTGGTTTCGATTATTTTATACATTAAATACACTATGCATTATGTGGGTTGAATGCTGTAACCCAGAATACAACAATTAATAAAAGTCCCATGATGGTAGTGACTGCCCATTACTGCTTATCACTTATTAACCATCCTTCATTCACATTACTTTAATAAAATATTTCAGTTGTTTGTGTATATTACATTTGTTTTATTTGATGACTTTATTATTTCATTCCAAGTCATCTCATCTCTATAGAGCTGCTGCCTATGCTGTCTAACAAAATCACTATTTTGTAGTTCTTCAATGTAAGTAAGGCATACTTTTATGACTGCTGAATACTATCAATCACTTAAGATTATGTATTTTCTGGTAGCGATACCTCGCGAAGCAACAGCAGCTCTGTATATCACCTCACAATCACGCATTCTTCTCTCTTCCATAGCAGTTGTAAAAGAAACACAGACCGGCATGTAGGTGCACAATGGATTATGGTCATTGTACACTGAACAAAAATATAAACACAACATGTAAAGTGTTTGTCCCATGTTTCAGGCACAAAAAGCTTATTTCTCTCAAATGTTGTGCACAAATTTGTTTACATCCCTGTTAGTGAGAAATTTCTCCTTTGCCAAGATAATCCATCCACCTGACAGGTGTGGCATATCAAGAAGCTGATTAAACAGCATACTCATTACACAGGTGCACCTTGTGCTGGGGACAATAAAAAGCCACTCTAAAAGTGCAATTTTGTCACACAACACAATGCCACAGATGTCTCAAGTTGAGGGAGTGTGCAATTGGCATGCTGACTTCAGGAATGTCCACCATAGCTGTTGCCAGAGAATTGAATGCTCATTTCTTTACCATAAGCCGCCTCCAACATCATTTTAGAGAATTTGGCAGTATGTCCAGCCGGCCTCACAACCGCAGACCACGTGTATGGCGTCGGTTTGCTGATGTCAACGATGTGAACAGAGTGCCCCATGGTGGCGGTGGGGTTATGGTACGGGCAGGCATAAGCTACGGACAACGAACACAATTGCATTTTGTCAATAGCAATTTCAATGCACAGTGATATCGTGACGAGATCCTGAGGCCCATTGTCGTACCAATCATCCGCCACCATCACCTCATTTTTCAGCATGATAATGCACAGCCCCATGTTGCAAGGATATGTACACAATTCCTGGAAGCTGAAAATGTCCTAGTTCTTCCATGGCCTGCACACTCACCAGACATGTCACCCATTGAGCAAGTTTGGGATGCTCTGGATCAGCGTGTACGACAGCGTGTTCCAGTTCCTGTCAATATCCAGCAACTTCACACAGCCATTGAAGAGGAAAGGGACAACATTCCACAGGCCACAATCAATAGCCTGATTAACATTATGTGAAGGAGATGTGTCGCGCTGCATGAGGCAAATGGTGGTCACACCAGTTACTGACTGGTTTTCTGATCCACGCCCCTACCTTTTTTTGAGGACCTAATTATTTTTTTCAATTGACTGATTTCCTTATAAACTCAGCAAAAAAAGAAAAGTCCCCTTTTCAGGACCCTGTCTTTCAAAGATAATTCGAAAAAAATCCAAATAACTTCACAGAACTTCATTGTTAAAGAGTTTAAACACTGTTTCCCATGCTTGTTCAATGAACCATAAACAATTAATGAACATGCACCTGTGGAACGGTCGTTAAGACACTAACAGCTTACAGACGGTAGGCAATTAAGGTCACAGTTATGAAAACTTAGGACACTAAAGAGGCCTTTCTACTGACTCTGAAAAACACCAAAAGAAAGATGCCCAGGGTCCCTGCTCATCTGTGTGAACGTGCCTTAGGCATGCTGCAAGGAGGCATGAGGACTGCAGATGTGGCCAGGGCAATAAATTGCAATGTCCGTACCGCTTTGGATAAAAGAGTCTGCTAAATGGCATATTATTATTATTATTATTATTACTGTGAGACGCCTAAGACAGAGCTACAGGGAGACAGGATGGACAGCTGATCGTCCTCGCAGTGGCAGACCACGTGTAACAACACCTGCACAGGATCGGTACATCCGAACATCACACCTGCGGGACAGGTACAGGATGGCAACAACAACTGCCTGAGTTACACCAGGAACGCACAATCCCTCCATCAGTGCTCAGACTGTCCGCAATAGGCTGAGAGAGGCTGGACTGAGGGCTTGTATGCCTGTTGTAAGGCAGGTCCTCACCAGACATCACCGGCAACAACGTCGCCTATGGACACAAACCCACCGTCGCTGGACCAGACAGGACTGGCAAAAAGTGCTCTTCACTGACAAGTCGCGGTTTTGTCTCACCAGGGGTGATGGTCGGATTCACGTTTATTGTCGAAGGAATGAGCGTTACACCGAGGCCTGTACCCTGGAGCGGGATCGATTTGGAGGTGAGGGTCCGTCATGGTCTGGGGCGGTGTGTCACAGCATCATCGGACTGAGCTTGTTGTCATTGCATGCAATCTCAACGGTGTGCGTTACAGGGAAGACATCCTCCTCCCTCATGTGGTACCCTTCCTGCAGGCTCATCCTGACATGACCCTCCAGCATGACAATGCTACCAGCCATACTGCTTGTACTGTGCGTGATTTCCTGCAAGACAGGAATGTCAGTGTTCTGCCATGGCCAGCGAAGAGCCCGAATCTCAATCCCATTGAGCACTTCTGGGACCTGTTGGATCGGAGGGTGAGGGCTAGGGCCATTCCCCCCAGAAATGTCCGGGAACTTGCAGGTGCCTTGGTGGAAGAGTGGGGTAACATCACACAGCAAGAACTGGCAAATCTGGTGCAGTCCATGAGGAGGAGATGCACTGCAGTACTTAATGCAGCTGGTGGCCACACCAGATACTGACTGTTACTTTTGATTTTGACCCCCCCTTTGTTCAGGGACACATTATTCAATTTCTGTTAGTCACATGTCTGTGGAACTTCTTCAGTTTATGTCTCAGTTGTTGAATCTTGTTATGTTCATACAAATATTTACACATGTTAAGTTTGCTGAAAATAAGCGCAGTTGACAGTAAGAGGACGTTTCTTTTTTTGCTGAGTTTATGAACTGTAACTCTGTAAAATCTTAGAAATTGTTGCGCTTATATTTTTGTTCAGTATAGTTAATTACCACGTTTTACACACTAAACTATGTAGAATATTGGCCTGTTGGAAACTACAACTCCCTACTATATTGCACAGTTCAGGCTGGATCTGACTTATCTCTACAGAAACTGTGCGATGTGCACATTGAGCTCACAGAAGAAAAACTAACTAAATGGAATTCAAATAATTGAACCAACGTCGGCCAATTAGCTGTTTAAAAAACGAAAAATAACCGACATTTCGGTTAATCGCTAAGCACTACCTGTGTGTTCCCTTCTCCCTCAAGCCACCTGCTCAAGACCACTACATCAAAAGGGTTATCTCGCAATCGCTTCCTACTCAATAAAACCTTTTTTTTCTCCCTGATATCTCACCTTCTGTGCTCCTTGCTTCCACTTTTCTCCATCACTTTGTCCTTTTATCTTCTCCTCTCTCGCCCCCCCTCATCTGTTTTTCATCCTCTCCATTTATTTCCATGACTTTACCCGCCCCTCTTTCATCTTCCTCTCACTTTCTCTCGCTCTAAGCATCTCCCTCTCTCTTTCATCCCACCCCACTCACCCTCGCTTTCCTTCTTCCTCCATGTCCCATCTCCTCCTTTCCAACCCCCCCCCCCCCCCCCCCCCCCCCCCCTGCCCTTCTCTATCTTTCTACCCTCCCTTGTTACCTTGGAGGCGAGGAGTTGTTGCTGTGCGTCTATCTGCTGCTGCTGTCTGGCAGCCATCTCCTGCAGCTCAGCCAGAGTCATGTCCATCCGCGGAGCCGACACCTGCACATGGTACAACAAGGAGAGAGACGGTCAGTTATACACACACACACAAACAAAAAACAATTGGCAAAGTAAGACACACACACATTGTACATATACTAACACCTCATCTGTCACTCCAAGGCAAATGTTGTGTGTTTTGCATCTGTGTCAAGACAGGCCTGAAGCTAAGTAGGACAAGTACAGTCTCTGCATGTGGGTAAATAGCACACGGTCATGTTCAAATATGGGGACGTTTTTTTGCGTCATTGGTGACACAGGAGTAACTGAACTCGTTGTTCCCCTCTCTCCTCCTCCTTCTCTTTGGAAGCTATAGATGTTACAGGTTTAAACGTTTGAAAACTAATAGCAGCATTCAAAGAGCAGCAGAGGAAATGGTAAAAAAAGTTAAAAAGAGCTCCATCAATGAGTCAAAACAATTCAGAGGGAAAGTTAATGTTTGATTAATTGACTAATCCAATGACTCATAGGACAGGAAATGTACAGGCGTGAATTAATGAAAAACAGGATTTCAAAAGGTCACCAAGCAAACGTTTGTCTAAAGTCAATGGTTTCTGAACTCACCCCATTCTCCATCCGTCTATCCGAGGTGCTCTTCACTCCGTTCCTCTTGGAGTCTGATCCTCGTGAGCCACCTGAAACACACATCCAAAACCTCAGTCAAAAACTGTCAGAGAGAAGAGTAAAGCAGCAAAAGTTTTCCTGACTAACATTAAAAGCCACCAATCCTGTTAGGAAACTATGAGAAACTCACGCAAAGTGTTCATTGGAACAACAGCTGATATGAGCGAAGGAAACATCTCTCACGCTCTCCCTTATATACCACACACTGACACACACACCACATACAGTACACACACACGCACACGTTCTGCAATAGGATCCTTCAACTGGAGGGGAGGAGTCACAAGCAGGTTACACAAACACAGACTGGCTAGCGTTAGCGACGAGCTAAGCCACTCAGCCAGCACAAAGAGATCAGTGTCGCCCAGAGAATGGTCATAATCTCAGGATTTACTACAGTACCCTGGGTCTCTGAAGGGCTGATCATTGACTGTGTGTGTGTGTGTGTGTATTTGTGTCTGTGTGTATTTGTGTCGGGGGTGTCTTAGAGAGCCAATGGAACTGATTTCATCCCTCGAGCACCGGCCAGTGACCAAGCAACTTACATAATAGTTTTGGACAACATCTGCTACAAACATGGGCTAGGACTGGGGACTACTCAGGGACACAAGAACATGCTGAGCTAACGCTGAATAAATAATTAGCCTATAAGCTAATGCTATGACAAATTAATTGAATAGCCTACTTAGCTAACTTAATAGTGATGGGGGAGAACTATTATTTGATAGTTACATATCGCAATATTATTTTAGGACAATATTATATCAATACTTTGACTCCAAGTATCAATTTGTAAAAAATAACAAACAAATAAATATATATACAGTACCAGCCAAAAGTTTGGACGCACCTAATCATTCAAGGGTTTTTCTTTGTTTTTACTATTTTTTACATTGTAAAATAATAGTGAAGACATCAAAACTATGAAATAACAAATATGGAATCATGTAGTAACCAAAAAAGTGTTTTATATGCAGTTGAAGTCGGAAGTTTACATACACTTAGGTTGGAGTCATTAAAACTTGTTTTTCAACCACTCCACACATTTCTTGTTAACAAACTATAGTTTTGGCAAGTCGGTTAGGACATCTACTTTGTGCATGACACACGTCATTTTTCCAACAATTGTTTACAGACAGATTATTTCACGGTATCACAATTCCAGTGGGTCAGGAGTTTACATACACTAAGTTGACTGTGCCTTTAAACAGCTTGGAAAATTTCAGAAAATGATGTCATGGCTTTAGAAGCTTCTGATAGGCTAATTGAGGTGTGTTGGGTCATTGTCCTGTTGAAAAACAAATGATAGTCCCACTAAGCCCAAACCAGATGGGATGGCGTATCTCTTCTTCCTATTGGTGTCCTTTAGTGGTTTCTTTGCAGCAAAGAAACCACTACTAAAGTACACCAATAATAAGAAGAGACTTGCTTGGGCCAAGAAACACGAGCAATAGACATTAGACCGGTGGAAATGTATCCTTTGGTCTTGATTCCAAATTGGTGATTTTTGGTTCCAACCGCCATGTCTTTGTGAGACGCGGTGTGGGTGAACGGATGACCTCCGCATGTGTAGTTCCCACCATAAAGCATGGGAGTGGAGGTGTTATGGTTTGGGGGTGCTTTGCTGGTGACACTGTCTGTGATTTATTTAGAATTCAAGGCACACTTAACCAGCATGGCTACGACAGCATTCTACAGCAATATGCCATCCCATCTGGTTTGGGCTTAGTGGGACTATCATTTGTTTTTCAACAGGTCAATGACCCAACACACCTCCAGGCTGTGTAAGGGATATTTTACCAAGAAGGAGAGTGATGGAGTGCTGCATCAGATGACCTGGCCTCCACAATCCCCCGACCTCAACATAATTGAGAGTCCAAATTGGAGATTTTTGGTTCCAACCGCCGTGTCTTTGTGAGACGCGATGTGGGTGAACGGATGATCTCCGCATGTGTATTTCCACCGTAAAGCATGGTGGAGGAGGTGTTATTGTGCTTTGCTGGTGAAACTGTCTGTGATTTATTTCGAATTCAAGGCACACTTAACCAGCATCGCTACCACAGTATTCTACAGCGATACGCCATCCTATCTGGTTTGGGCTTAGTGGGACAATCATTTGTTTTTCAACAGGACAATGACCCAACACACCTCCAGGCTGTATAAGGGCTATTTTACCAAGAAGGAGAGTGATGGAGTGCTGCATCAGATTACCTGGCCTCCACAATCCCCCAACCTCAACCAAATTGAGATGGTTTGGGATGAGTTGGACTGCAGAGTGAAGGGAAAGCAGCCAACAAGTGCTCAGCATATGTGAACTCCTTCAAGACTGTTGGAAAAGCATTCCAGGTGAAGCTGGTTGAGAGAGTGCCAAGAGTGTGCAAAGCTGTCATCAAGGCAAAGGGTGGCTATTAGAATATATTTTGATTTGTTTAATGTGTTATTTAATAATTTTGACATCTTCCCTATGAAAGCTATGATCCCTTATTGATGTCACTTGTTAAATCCACTTCAAAATCAGTGTAGATGACAGGGAGGAGACAGGTTAAAGAAGGATTTTTAAGCCCTGAGACAATTGAGACATGGATTGTGTATATGTACTATTCAGAGGGTGAATGGGCAAGACCAAATATTTAAGTGCCTTTGAACAGGGTATGGTAGTAGGTGCCAGGTGCATGGTAGTAGGTGCCAGGTGCACCGGTTTGAGTGTGTCAAGAACTGCAACACTGCTGGGTTTTTCACGCTCAACAGTTTCCCGTGTGCATCAATAATGGTCCACCACCCAAAGGACATCCATCCAACTTGACACAACTGTGGGAATCATTGGAGTCAACATGGGCCAGCATCCCTGTGGAATGCTTGACACCTTGTAGAGTCCATGCCCTGATGAATGGAAGCTGTTCTGAGGGAAAATGGGGTGCAACTCAATATTAGGAAGGTATTCCTAATGTTTTGTACACTCATTGTATATATGAATAAACTCATTTTCACATGCTCTCCCTTGTCTCTTTGCAGCAGACACATAATGAGCAATATGTTTGGAACATCAAATTGCAATACCAATCGCAATACATTGCAATAAATATCGTATCGGCACCTAAGTATCGCGATATCATCGTATCGTGAGGTCCCTGGCAATTCCTAGCACTATAACGTAATGGGGGAAATAGCTATCTATATGGGTAGCTAGCTAAGCTTCATGAGAAAGAAGAAAGTAAATAGAGATGGATAGCTTAGCTTTTTCTCTCCTATGGGAGAGAACACAACGCTTAGCTAGTTAATTGTATCACAAGGCTAACTAACTCTGTGGGAAAGAACACAATGCTAAGTTAACCAATCCGAGGCCATCAAAAGGCTACTAACTACGAAGACATGGCCTAAGTACAAACAAGCTAACTTTGCGGGAAAACAAGTGCAGGCTAAGATGGCCAGAAAGGAAAACAGCCATCTAATCCCAGAGCCAGACACAAGCAGTGAGTGGTAGAGGGCTTAGGAATTACGCAACTAGGGACAGAGGATCCACACAACCTTGTGGACAACAATTCTAGTTTTTATGTCCCTGAAGAAAAATAAAGTAGTAACAATCTTCTTGGGATGTGATTTGAACACCCCTTCACAGTGACAGCCCTAGAGCATTATGCTAAATAAGGGTTGTCTGGAATTTGAAGCATTGTATTAGAAATCCAGAGGCATACGAGGATCAAGGGGGTCTTAGGCTTCTGTTGCCCAATCCCTGTCCGGTGGGGAGGGAGGGCCGTCTGGGTTTCTACTTACTTTCTAACAACTTGTTATGTAATTGATTACAGAGCTGTGTCTGAGATTGTCTTTACACTATCTGTTGTATGTATGTATGTATGTATGTATGTATGTATGTATGTATGTATGTATAGTTACTGACAAAAATATAAACGCAACATGCAACAATTTCAACGATTTTACTGAGTTACAGTTCATATGAGGAAATCAGTCAATTGAAATACATTTGAAATGTATGTGTGTGTTGTGTGGCGTGCTTGTGTTCTTCTGTATGCACTTTGTCCTGTCAGGTCATTGGGAACTCACCAGATTCTCTGCTGGGCGCTCGGTCATGACGCAGGAAGAAGCGCACCTCTGCTCTGTGCTGCCCCCAACGCTGGAGCACGTCCAGCATCCGCTCCCCATCTCCTACAGGTCGCTCTGATGGGGGGGGGAGAAGAAGGAGTTAGACTAGAGAACACACACACACAGGTTAAAAGGTTAGAGAACAGAGTTAGTGGTGCTTGGGGAAGCAGTGCACCCCCCAGGCCTTGGAAATATTGACATTGTCACCCCCTATAACATTAGTTTGAACCCGTCTATCAGTATTAATGCGTTTTACATGCATGGACTAAAGTGACAAGCGCAGCAAGAATTAAAAAACACACGCATGGGACTGCTAATCCAGCATCCAAAGCCTACATTGGAGTTACAAACATAAATGTAAACAGCCATTTTGTCTCAGAGGAAAAGCACTCAAGGTGTGTGTCGTATGACGTGTTGTTAATGACAAGGTTTGTTAATCCGGTCAGACCACAATGACTGACTGGACTGGGCTAGTCTACATTCTGAGGAGATGCATTTAAATCAAGACTTCTGTTTTTACTTCATCTTCCTGAGAGGTGCTGCCTCAGGGAAGGACAATGATATGTTGTTCATGTTTTCAGCTGACCTGGCGCTGATCCAACAGGCCTAACCACTCAAACCTCTAAACAACATTTGTCTTCTCTTCATTACACGGAAGTACTAAACACATGGTTGATTAGTGCACCAATGTATTTAAAATGTTACAACCACTTCGCTCATGCCTTCACTTATAACAAAAAAGGAATGTGAAATAATCAGGACAGTATTAACACACAGGGCCTGTTTTTTCTTGTTGGAATTAGCTAAACCTAAAGAATAAAACATATTTGTAAAAAGAGGTGCAAGATTCATCTGGTTCCCCTTCAGTACTTGTAAAAAGATTCCCCTCAAGGACACAGAGGCACACCAGCCGGAACACAGGCACCCAGTCTCTCATGGCAACCACACACAACCATGGAAACGGTCCACTTCTAACCCCAGGTACTTGAGTTCTAAGAATGCTTGGAGAGCGGCAATGGGGATTGTGCAAGGCTGAAGTCTTATTTCTCCACTTGAGAGACTTGTGAGAGATGTGTTATCTGTGTGGTGGGCTACTAAGATAATACACCCAGCTTGTTAGCATCAGAGACAACACAGATAAAGACCAGCTCCTCAGAGGAAGCATCAAGTCTGGCCAGTTGGCACACAGCCAGCCCACTTTTATTCTGTGTTCTTTCGAAAATAGGATGTTCTCTCAAAACTCTCCCTATGTTCTATATCATCTTGGGGTTTGTTTATAAGACAAGATGTGTTTTTCCCAAATAACCACTAGATCATAGGTATTGTTACTAGTCCAGGTGCCTAAACGACAGGCATAGGGGTGTTAGTTGTCAGGCGTATACAGGCGTAAAGGGGGAGGAGGCTCACCAGATCCGCGCCACATCTCAGCCAGGTGGCATTCAGTCTCTCCGGGCTCCTTACATAGTTCCACCACGTCCCGGCACAGTGTCTCTGGGGTAACGGGCACCTCTGTAAAATGCTGGTCATTGTTACTGAGGTACACTGTCAGGAACATCTGGGGGACAGAGAGAAGAGACAAACATGGGATATTAGCATGAGGACATCCTTTAACATTTTCATCTCACCATACTGTAATGTTTACTGCTCACATAAACAACTTCACAAATGTTATGATCAGAGTTGAGGAAGGCTAGAGATGCCCACTGAGGCATAAGACACATGGCAAAAATAGTTATCCTAAAAACACAATAAATATTGTAAGACAGTGACACCTTCAAGGCTATCAGAGCTGCATATCTAACTCTCAGTGATAGGCATCTAAAAGCCTTGCACCTGCCTGCGTGCCACTGATAGCAACATACTGTCTTAGGGCCCTTTAAAATCCGTGTTGCGGAGAACACCGACGAAATCACGGAATCCAGACATTAAAACGGAATTCAACAATATTCCAAAATGTATTTAACTTAGCAGGAAATCAACTAAATGTATTGAACTTATTAGAAAATGCTTTAATTTGCCCAAGATTATCATATGACATGAATAAAATGCATCAGTGATTTGTATTTTCCTTCAACTTTCTGATGAGGCAACGGCACAGGAATGCCCATCTGTGTGTGCGTTTTTGTCTACCACTTTGTGTAGCCGTCAGCAATGATGCTAATGTAATGATAACCGTCTTCTGGTAGATGGAAAGCCTTTCCCAAAAACCTTCTAAATTAAATGTTAACTACATGGCAGGATTATATCATGATTATTTGCAATAATCCAGTAGCCATTTGGTTTGCAAACTCTGCAATCACATGAGCACTAGAGAAACATAGCTAACCAAATAATGGTCTCTGGCTGGTGAATTAAAGTGCAACTACACCCAAAACTCAAAATGTCTTAAGATTTTTCAAAAACCTCAAAAGTCTCCTGATGTGGTTTAAGCATTGTTGTTTTTCTATAAATAAATAGTGATTTTGAGATCAAAAACTTGAAACTAGCAAAAACAGAAACCTGGAAAAACCAAACAGAAAAAGAAATTTTGGAAAAGACAAAACGGAATCAGGCAAAATATATAACTGATTTTATAGGGCCCTACTGTCTGTGCCCTCGTTCCTCTGTATCCACATGGAAACCGGAGTAGAGTACCTAGCATTTCCCCTGCTGATGGCCTGCTAATGTTAACTAGCAGCAGAGCGCTTTGAAGTGTAGAAATACTGTAGCCACTGTCAGATGTTTTGATGGTTAGGATTTGGGACTGGTATCTGATTCTAGATCAGTAGTTACCTCCAGCTTGAACTAATGACAACGCTGCCTCATTGCGGCCTCTCCGTCTTACAAAGAGATGGTTTGCCAGTAGGGTCAAGTTTGTTCTTCAGTTCATGCCCCTTGGTTAGACTACAAGAGTGATGTAGAAACAGTATACTATTCATTTTACCACAGTAAAGAATACGCCGCCCAGCCATGCATAGGAGGGCTACATTAGGGACATTGGGCCATTCAGATCACCCAGGCAGAAAGGCTGAGGGCAGTGCAGCTACAGCACTCTCAGTGAAAATAAAGTCAGGCTACAGTATAGGTGGGCTCCACATACATCACTGCATCTCAATGGTCTAAAGTGGATTCCTCTCGTTGTCGCTTGATGTGAGAGCACCAGAAAGGTTAGAGCAGATTTCAAAAAGGCATCAACTACATTGCATTCACTTATCCTGTCTTTTTAGAACACGGACATTGTCCTAACTAGGTAGCCAGTAGGGCCTGGATGATACCAGTATCGCGATACTTGTTAGTATTGTGGCAAGGGAACAAAATACGAAGCAGATTTAACTTCTTTAGTTAAACAGCCCTAATGTTGGAAACAAACATCTTTATGTTGCCATCCAGAGTCACATGTATTTATTTTCCAAGCTATAGCACACAATATTTTACATACAGCAGGTTTTTAAAGGACCAAAGAGTTAGGTCTGCTTTGTGTCTTCATTTTTGCCATGGAAAAAATATTGCAATACTGGTATCGTCACAGCCCTAGCAGCCATACTTCTAAGAGTCCGTTCTAACCATAAACTGTTCTCTTCTAGCCTTTCTTTAAATGCTCAGGTCTAAGAAACCAAAATCACTGCCGATAATGCAGACAATCTAGGTGGTCCAGACCTAAGAAGTAGCTTGGTTAAATACGGATGCAAATGGACACTTTATAGAATAATTAAGTAATAAGCCATTGATCATGCTTGGCTTACAACAGTAGGGTGATGGGGGGTTAATAATAATATAATATAATAATAATAATAATAATAATAAGCCATTTAGCAGACGCTTTCATCCAAAGCGACTTACAGTCATGTGTGCATAAATTTTTACGTATGGGTGGTCCTGGGGATCGAACCCACTACCCTGGCGTTACAAGCGCCATGCTCTACCAATTGAGCTACCCTAAATGAAAGGGTCACAGTGGTTCACGCCACACCCTCTAAAGGACCACCCCAGATAAAGGGAAAGGTTTAAGAATGACAAATAAATCATTCACAAACTTTCACCTCAAAGGGACAACTCCCCTAATGAAGTTCATAAATACAGAATTGTTAGGGGTTCAAGCAGAAAATCTGGATGAAACCCTATTGTATTTGTTGGTGTGTCTCAAGTCCCCATAAGGTCCGCCATGAAGAATCTTCCGCCATTTAGAAATTTGTGAAAAACACTTAAAACCGCTACTACTCTGGCACCAAATGAACAATCTGCACGAACCTTGATATATAGCATCTATGGACCAATGTCTCAACACAATATTTTCCAGGGTAGCCTCTCAAACATTCCCAATAAACATTAATGTTGGTGTGGTCTGGCACATAAATATAATATATGCAAATAAATCACACACGGATATTTGTATTGTAAAATAAACTTGATACACATGTTCCAAACACTGTCAAGACTCAACATTTCCAAGCACATTCAGATTGACCACAAGGTGGCCTATCATGGACACATGTTTATATCTCTTGATCTGTTTGACTCGGAGTGATACAATTTGGCACACATGCTCTAGCTAACCTGTAGAGTTTTGGTCAGTTTGGCCGCATGGTGGCGCTGTTGGACATGAAAATACAATCATACAAAATAATTGGCTTGTGGCGGCCATGTTGTATTGCGTTTAAAGACGTACAATCCATAGATGCAATATACCAAAGTTGATGCTGATTGGTCCAGCGGTTCTGGTGAAGATGTTTGATGGTTGCGCTATGGGGCCAAAGCTTGAAACCTGCCATGGCCCTTTGCAGCTATATATTTTTTAGTTATTTTATTTGTTCTGGTCCTAAATCTGTGCCAAATGCTGATCCCAGATTTGTGCCTAATAGGGAAACATCAACCCCGAGCCAGCACTCCACTCCGTTATATACCGCTGGACTACAGTGTGTGTGGATCATTCAACTGATCTAGCAGAGTAGAAGCTTTAGCTTTGCAGAAGAGGTTGGTCAGATCTGCTCTGCAAGGGCTCAAATAACAGTGACACAGACACATGAGTGTTTTATGGCCGGCGGCCGCTTGGTTGTAGTGGGGCAACAAATCATGTAAGACTAGCATATAGTTCTTTGACGCTTCAATATGGAGAGTTTCAATGAATAAGATTTTATTTTATTTTTTACAGGAGGGCAAATATGCTTTAAATCCCAGCAAGACAAGAAAAATCACCCAGAAATAGATGCAGCAGCTGACATCATTCGCTCTTTCAAGGAATGTAGGACAATCCAAGGGACCCTATTAATGTTAGGAGAGCGAGAGAGAGAGAAACAAGAGAGAAATAACGAAAGAGAGGAGATGAGAGAGAGAACACGAAAGAGAGCGAGAGAGATGATCAAAATATTGAGGTTGTGACATATGGTAAAACCATATCCAGACAGACCTGCCATTTGGCTCTCCCTCAGCCTACACTGGATGAGTTGGTACTTTGCTGTGTCTGCTCCTGACTTTCATCCACCTCCCTCCATCTCTCCCTCCCTTCATTCATTCATTTCACACAAAATATCTTGCATATAAAATACTTCTGAATACATCATAAGAGACAGGAGAGTAGGGCTGTTGCGGTGACCGTATTACCGCCACACCGGCAGTCATGAGTTATGACCACAGTAAAATGTAATGTGACTGTTGAGTTGCGGTAATCTCCTTTTATGCACTCTGGACATGCTTTGGTAGTACCCAACATGCTAACGACCATCAGGTCTTAATGGCCTGGTGGTACTCAGGGCTCTATTGTCCCTCTAACCACTCTGACAACAATGCAAATGCATTTGAAAATCACATCAAACACTTATCAACAAAACAGTATCATGCTTTTAAAACTCACCTCACTATGATGATCAATTTGAAAAAAATAAGTTCAACAGCAGGTTGAAACAGAGTAAACCATGGTCGTTGCGGATGTTGTTTCAAAGCCTAACACTGCAAAATGGACAGCGCTTTCTAAGGTGAAGTTTAATTCAAAACACCTATAAGCATATTAGAGCTCATGCATAGACTTATGAGCCTGGAAAAAAATGATACCCGAATTAAAATTATGATTGTGCCATTATACAATACATAGCCTACCACATATTACACATGGCAGAAAAACATACAACAAAACTGAGTTAAGATGTCTTAGGTAGATAATGGGTCTAGCCTATACTCCAAAAATAAACAAATTCTAGTAATCGCCTTTGAGTGTGGACTGTATTATTATGCATACTGGATGGACCTTACACTATGCTCCAAAATTTCTATCAATGAGTCTGGGAGAGAACGTATAGCCCTAGGCGATGCTGTTGGTTCATTGATTGTACAATTACAGTGAATTTGTATTTGAATAGTCAATTTTTTTTAAATTTTTTTATTTGATCTCTTCCTCTCTCAAGCACATAGAGGGGCTGTCAACAGTTTAGTGGAATATGTTTTTTTGCGAAAACATGTTACTATCGATGTTCCCAAAAAGATTTCACTTTGTTTCCCAAATTAAGCACTGGGTAGCTGCAGGAACAGGTTGAAGAGCCAATGGCATACAGATTTTGGGACGAATATCACCTGTCGCGCAGCGAG